AAGACTTTGTCTCAAAAGAAAAAAATCTCTCTACCCATTGACCACCAACTCTAAAAACATAGCCCCCAACACCCAAGCTAGGGTACCCAGCTCCTAGCCAGCTACCAACCACTTGGACTGCTGAGCTTGGACCCCCCACCTAGTCCCACCCTGGAGGTTTGAAGTTCCACCCCATCCCCTGTAACTGGTAACCACTGCCAATAGCGCCACCCCCAGCAACCACCAATCCTCGCCGACTTCATCAACCTTTGATCTCCAGTTCCCTAAGCCCAGTGCCCTATTCATCCACCTTCCCCAGCACCCCTCCCTCACTCTTGGAAGCAATGTTGCCACAGTGATGCAGTGTAATGGTTAGGAGTATGGCCTCTGGGATCAGACTGGGTTTGAATTCTGAGCCCATGATTTAGCTGCTGTGTGACCTTTGTGAGCTTTAGTTTACTCATCTGTCAGATGGAGATCTGTCTCTTATGGTCCTTTCCGGAACTTAGTGAGATGATGTCGTAGTTATTTATCATGGTGGTTGGTGCAGAGTTCGTGTCCAGGAGACATTAGGAACCTGCTTTTTTTTTTTTTCTTTGACTTTCTGGTCAGTCTGTGCTTCTCCATTAGGAACTTGCATTTTTTTTTTTTTTTAGACGGAGTTTCCCTCTTGTTACCTAGGCTGGAGTGCAATGGCACGATCTCGGCTCACCGCAACCTCTGCCTCCTGGGTTCAGGCAATTCTCCTGCCTCAGCCTCCTGAGTAGCTGGGATTACAGGCATGCGCCACCGTGTCCAGCTAATTTTAGTAGAGATGGGGTTTCACCATGTTGACCAGGATGGTCTCGATCTCTTGACCTCGTGATCCACCCGCCTCGGCCTCCCAAGTGCTGGGATTACAGGTTTGAGCCACTGCGCCCGGCCCATCAACTTGGATTTTTTATGATCACATTTTTTTTTGTTTGAGACAGAGTCTCGCTCTGTTGCCCAGGCTGGACTGCAATGGTGCGATCTCAGCTCCACCTCCCGAGTTCAAGCGATTCTCCTGCCGCAGCCTCCTACTCAGCTGGGATTACAGGCGCATGCCACCGTGCAGGCTAATTTTTGTATTTGTAGTAGAGATAGCATTTGACCATGTTGGCCAGGCTGGTCCTGAACTCCTGACCTTAAGTGATCCACTGGCCTCGGCCTCCCAAAGTGCTGGGATACAGGCGTGAGCCACCTGATCCAGTCTATGACCTCATTTAACTGTATATAACAAACCCCAAAATAACAGGGACTTCAACAGGATAGAACGTTATTTCTCTTCTCACATAAATAGTCCACAGGGACTGAGTGCTGTGGCTCATGCCTATCTCAGCATTTTGGGAGGCCAAGACAGGTGGACTGCTTCAGGCCAGGAGTTTGAGATCACCCTGGCCAACATGGTAAAACATGGTTTCTACTAAAAATAAAAATACAAAAATTAGCCAAGTGTGGCGGTGCACACCTGTAGTCCCAGCTACATGGGAGGCTGAGGCAGGAGAATCACCTGAACCCAGAAAGTGGAAGTTTCAGTGAACCAAGATTACACCACTGCACTTTAGCCTGGGCAAAAGAGCGAGACCCTTTCTCAAAAAAATCCAACCCAGGCTGGGCATGGTGGCTCATGTCTGTAATCCCAACACATTGGGAGGTTGAGGTGGGCAGATCACGAGGTCAAGAGATTGAGACCATCCTGGCCAACATGGTGAAACCCCATCTCTACTAAAAATACAAAAATTAGCTGGGGGTAGTGGCACTCGCCTGTAGTCCCAGCTACTTGGGAGGCTGAGGCAGGAGAATTGCTTGAACTTGGGACGCAGAGGTTGCAGCGACCTGAGATCACACCATTGCACTCCAGCCCAGGCAACATAGCGAGACTCCGTCTCAAAAAAATGCCAAAAAACAGTCTGGGCGTGGTGGCTCCTGTCTGTAATCCCAGCACTTTGGGAGGCCGAGGCGGGTGGATCACCTGAAGTCAGGTGTTCAAGACCAGTCTGGCCAACATGGTGAAACCTTGTCTCTACTAAAAATACAAAAATTAGCCAGGTGTTGTGGTGGGCGTCTGTAATCTCAGTTACTCGGGAGGCTGAGGCAGGAGAATTGCTTGAACTTGGAAGGCGGAGATTGCAGTGAGCCAAGATTGTGCCACTGCACTCTAGAGCAAGACTCTGTCTTAAAAAAAAAAATACTGGCTGGGCACACTGGCTCACGCCTGTAATCCCAGCACTTTGGGAAGCCGAGGTGGGCGGATCATGAGGTCAGGAGATGGAGACCATCCTGGCCAATGTGGTGAAACCCCATCTCTACTAAAAATACAAAAAAATTAGCTGGGCATAGTGGCACAGTAGTCCCAGCTACTCGGGATGCTGAGGCAGGCAAATTGCTTGAACCCAGGAGGTGGAGATTGCAGTGAGTCGAGATCACGCTACTACACTACAGCCTGGGTGACAGTACGAGACTCTGTCTCAAAAAAAAAACTCCTGACCTCAGGTGATCCACCTGCCTCGGCCTCCCAAAGTGCTGGGATTACAGGCGTGAGCCACCATGCCTGGCCCAAGAATCCCTCTTATAATGAAACTTTTTAATTTGATTTTTATTTTTTCTTAAGTCCCCATTATGCCTGAGAATGACACTTATTTTTTCTGACAATTTTGGGACTTGTGACTTCCCAACTTGCGTCTCCTATGGTCTGGAGCTTTTACTTTTTGGGTTGTCTCTCTATGTTGGGGTGCTTTGGAACGTCTTCTCCTTTCTCACTGTTGGGGAAAACTCTCCATGGCCGTGTAGGTGGATGGCTTCAACCCTAGCTCCACAACAGCTGTGAGCTTTCCAGTTACACTCCCTGGGCGCCTTGGTTTACTTGTTATTATCACTACTTTTAGAGATAAGGTCTTGCTCTGTTGGTCAGGCTGGAGTGCAGTGGTGGGATCATAATTCACTGCAGCCTCAAATGGGGCTCAAGTGATCCTCCTGCCTCATCCTGCCAGGTAGCTGGGACTACAGGTGTGCACCACCATACCCAGCTAACTTTTAAATATATTTTTTTGTAGAGACAGGATCTTGCTGTGTTGTGTTGGGATTACAGGCATGAACCACCATGCTTGGCGTTCAATTTACTTATTCTCTGAGAATGGTGACAGTCCCACATGGATTCTCCTTGGGATTAAGAGGGTACCTTAAGGCCAGGCACAGTGGCTCACGACTGTAATCCCAGTACTTTGGGAGGCCAAGGCAGGTGGATCACCTGAGGTCGGGAGTTTGAGACCAGCCTGGCCAACATGGTGAAACCCCGCTTCTATTAAAAAGACAAAAATTAGCCGGGCGTGGCACTTGCCTGCAGTTTCAGATATTTGGGAGACTGAGGCAGGGGAATCACTTGAACTGAGGAGGCAGAGGTTGCACTGAGCCAAGAGTATGCCACTGCACTCCAGCCTGGGCAACAGAATGAGAGTCCATCTAAACAAAAAAAAAAAAGAGGCCACCTTGATACCACATTTTGCAGGGATGGGGCATTCGAGTTAGGGCCTGGTCAGAAGTTGGCCCTAAGTCACACTGCACTTCTCTCTGTTCATCCTCATAGGCCCGTTCCTCCCGCCTTCAGCCCTGCTGCCAGACCCAGACTTCTTCTCTGGCACCGTGTCCCTGCCCGGCCTGGAGCCCCCTGGTGGGCCTGACCTCTTGGACGATGGCTTTGCCTACGACCCCACAGCCCCCCCACTCTTGACCATGCTGGACCTGCTGCCCCCCGCGCCGCCACACGCCAGCGCTGTTGTGTGCAGTGGGGGTGCTGGGGCTGTGGTTGGGGAGCCCCCCGGCCCTGAGCCGCTGACACTGGACTCCTACCAGGGCCTGGGCCCCGGGGACGGAGGCACCGCCAGCCTAGTGGGCAGCAACATGTTCCCCAATCAGTACCGTGAGGCAGCCTTTGGGGGCGGCCTCCTGTCCCCTGGGCCTGAAGCCACGTAGCCCCGTGGTGCCAGAGGAGGGGCACTGGGTGGGGAGGGAGGTGGAGGAGCTGTGCAATCCCAACCAGAATGTCCAGCATCCCCATCCCCTTGGCCCACCCTTGGGTTGGTCTTCCTCATGCTTCTGAAGCGGACATATTCAGCCTTGGCGAGAAGCTCCGTTGCACAGGTTTCCCCTTGAGCCCACTTTACAGATGAGGAAACTGAGTCCGGAAAGGGTATGCTCCCGTGCACTAGCTTGTTACAGCTGCCTCTGCCCCCACATGTGGGGGCACCTTCTCCAGTCGGTTTCGGAAAAGACTACATATGAGAGGAGGGGGCAGATCCATGGCCCTCCCTCCCCAGACTTGAAGGGGTGGGGGTGGGGTAGGTTGTTAGAGTCTTTCCAATAAAGATGAGTTTTTGAGCCTCGGGGGTCTCGTCTGTTCTGCGCTTGGGAAATGCCCCAGTCCTTTACACAGCAAAGAAAGCCTTCAGCCTGGGGGCTTACGCCTGTAATCCCAGTACTTTAGGAGGCAAGGCGGGAGGATCGCTTGAGACCAGCCTGGGCAACATGACGAAACCCAGTTTCAACAAAAAATACAAAAATTAGCCGGGCTGAGTGGTGCCCAGCTACTCCGGAGGCTGAGGTAGGAGGATGGCTTAAGCCCGGGAGGTGGAAGTTGCAGTGAGCCCAGACCGCACCACTGCACTCCAGCCTGGGTGGCAATGCGAGGCCCTGTCTCAAAAAATAAACAAAATTTTAAAAAATAGCGAAAATACCCGAGCTCCACCCTTCGTTCTCCCACTTCAACTTCCTCTGGACTCCGCCCCTCTCGACTCTAGGACCCGCCCCTCACGTCGGCGGAAGTGCGCTACGCGGCGGTCCACCTCCGCCCCCTCCTCCTACCGCAGCATTCCATTTCCGTTTCCGGTGCGGGCGGCGCGCTAGCGCAGCGGTGGGAGGCTGCTACCAGCCGGTGAGTGCGGGCGGCGGGCTCGACCTTCCGGCTTTCGGGCAGGCGTCAGCCCAGCTTCTTCCTTTCCTCGGGCTCTCCCCATGCTGCTGTAGGCCTCTGCTGCGTCCCGGCCCCGAGATGGCTTGTTCCTCACCCCCTTCGGCCTGACGGGCCGAAGGCCGCGCCCTTGCCCCAGAAGTCGCCGCGTTTCTCTTGGCTTTCGGCCCAGCAGCCTGTCACAGGCCCGCCCCCTTGTCAAAAAAAAAAAACAAAAACAAACAAAAACCTAGCCCAAATCCTCCGGCCGCGACGCGATCTACAAGCCCGGTGCAAACCCTTGATCTCTTCCTCGCCCGCAAGCCCTGCCCCCAAGCTCAGCCCACGCCCTCCCGCCAGCCAGCTCCGCCTCTCTCAGGCTTTACCCTCTTTTTCCCTGGATACTGTCTCCACCACGACATCTAGATCCCCTCTTTAGACCTCACCTTCACTCTGGTCTCCTTGCAACACCCCCTCCCCGTGTTCCCACTCCCTCTAGCATCTTCATCTTCCGCCACACCCTTCACCCGTCCTCGACCTCCCCCTTCCTACAACTGCACTTGCTCCCTTAAAGACTTTCTCCGATTTCTTCTATCTGCCTTCATCCTTATCCTCCTCATCTAGCATGGGGCAGCCTTTTCAGCTCTTCTCTTTCCCTTGAGATCCAGCCTCAGGTGCTCAAGGTTTGCCTTCTGACTTTACTTCAAACACTACTCATGTTTCAAAACCTTCCATCTCTGACTCCAGCACGTGGAGTCTAGGACACCCCTTTCCCAGGGATGCTCACCTCAGAATCACCTGAGGGTTTTTCAGATTGCCCAAGCTGCCAGATGGAAGTTGTTAGAGGTGGACTTGAACATCTGGCACACCGTTCTGAAGCCATACTTCTGCTCCCTGAACCTAAGAGATGTGTTGTTTGAGATTGACTCTGTCACCAACCTTTTAGATGACTTTGATTCTGCCCATATAGTTTTTACAGCCTATCTGACGCTCCTGGTACCTTTCTTTATCCCTCAGGTTGAGGCCCCACGCTTGGCCTCACCACAATGTGGCACGAGGCTAGGAAGCATGAGCGGAAGCTTCGAGGTATGATGGTCGATTACAAGAAGCGGGCAGAGCGGAGACGGGAGTATTATGAAAAGATCGTGAGTAACTGGCCTTTCGTCTCTGGTGTGGGACCCTGGGTTGGGGGCTGAAGCTGGTCATCCTGATAAAATCTGGACTTGGAAGTATGCCAGGACAAGAGCTTCATTTCCTCAGGAGTATATTCGTTAATTGTTTCTTGAGCGTAATCATTGATAAGATCCCAAGGGCTTCTGTGTGTCGTAGCATACTGTGTCATTTGGTCAGTGCCAATCAGGTGTTAGCAAGAAGAAGGGAAATCTCTGTAATGCTCAGAGCAGTCCTGACGTTAGATTGGCCACCTCCAGAATGTTGTCTGTTTTGCTTATTGCTGGCTTCCCATGCCCGGAAGTATTTGAGATTTGGCTTGGCACACAACAGGAGTGAGTATTAAGTTGGCTGGGTGTGGTGGCTCACACCGGTAATCCTGGCGCTTTGGGAGGCTGAGGTGGGTGGATCACCTGAGGTCGCAAGTTTGAGATCAGCCTGGCCAAAATGGTGAAACCCCGTCTCTACTAAAGATAGAACAATTAGCCAGGCGTGGTGCTGTGTGCGTGTAATCCCAGCTACTTGGGTGGCTGAGGCAGGAGAATTGCTTGAACCTGGGAGGAAGAGACTGCAGTGCGTGGAGATTGTGCCACTGCACTCTAGCCTGGGTGACAGAGCAAGATGGTCTCCAAAAAAAAAAGGGGGAGTGAATACAAAATGAAATCTGACCACTTCTGTCTGCTGTTTGATGCTTCACTTGCTTTTGGGGAGAAGACCAAAGTATCCCTGGTCTAAAAGACTCTTGTGGTCTCACCACTCAGCTTCATCCTTGGACAGCTCCACTGGCCTTCTGTTTCTGCCACCACAGGGCTTTGGCCTGAAATGCCGCCTTCTCACCTGTTTAACTCCTGTGTATCCTAGGCTGGGCTTGGTGGCTCAAGCCTGTAATCCCAGCACTTTGGGAGGCCGAGGCAGGTGGATCCACGAGGTCAGGAGTTCAAGACCAACCTGGCCAACATGGCGAAACCCTGTCTCTGCTAAAAATACAAAAAACTTCGCTGGGCGTGGTGGCACATGCCAGTAATCCCACCTATTCAGGAGGCTGAGGCAGGAGAATCACTTGAAACCGGAAAGTGGAGGTTACAGTGAGCCAAGATCGTGCCACTGCACTCCAGCCTGGGCAACAAGAACAAAACTCTGTCTCAAAAAAACAAGCAAACAAACAAACAAAAACCTCCGGTGTATCCTTGGTATTCCAGCTTGAAATGGCACCTGTTTACTAGCTTCAGTTCTGTTAGATGACATTTATTTAGACATTCCCCATTTACTCCTGTATTACCACCCCAGCCTCCTCCCTGGTCTGCTGGCCGCCAGTTCTGGCCCCTCCAATCTGTCCTCCCCAGAAGGGTCTGAGAGGCCTTTCAAAAGCACAAAACTGACCTTGTCCCTTCCTTGCTCAGAGTACCTTCATGGCTCCTAAGTGCCCTTGAGAGAAAGCCCAGGCTCCTCACTTTGGCCTTTGGACCCTGCATGGCTTGGCCGTTGCCCCTCCTCTAGACTCAGCGCCACCCCACACTCTGCCTTGTTCATTTGTGAAAGTTATTTTGGCCTCCTTGCTATTATTCCGCCGACCCAGGCATGACCTGGCCACAGGACTTGTGTATGACCTCTTTCCATACCTGGTTCACTACTGCCTGTCTGTCAGATCTCAGTTGTCAGGGAAGTCTTGTTTCCCAGGCTCCGTCAAGTGTCCTTTAAAAATGCCGTCATCATTGCTCCCTTCCCCTCTGTGGAATTTAACACACTTAAGATACACATACATGGGCCGGGCACAGTGGCTGACGCCTGTAATCCTAGCATTTTTGGAGGTTGAGGCAGGATCACCTCAAGTCAAGTTTGAGACCAGCCTGGCTAACATAGTAAAACCTCATCTTTCCTAAAAATACAAAAATTAGCAGGATGTGGTGGTGGGCGCTTGTAATTCCAGCTACTCGGGAGGCTGAGGCAGGAGAATCACTTCAACCTGGGAGACAGAGGTTGCAGTGAGCTGAGATCATGCCACTGCACTCCAGCCTGGTGACAGAGCAAGACTCCATCTAAAAAAAAAAAGAAGAAGATGTACATACGTGCACAGGTTGAACATCCCTAATTTAAAAATCCAAAATGCTCCAAAATCTTTTCTTTTTTGAGACAGTCTTGCTCAGTCACCCAGGCTGGAGTGCAGTGGCACCATCTCAGCTCACCGCAACCTCCGCCTCCTGGGTTCAAGCTGTTCCCCTGCCTCACTCAGCCTCCTGAGTAGCTGGGATTGCAGACGTGTGCAACTATTCCTGACTAATGTTTGTATTTTTGATAGAGATGGGGTTCTTTCATATTGGTCAGGCTAACTCCTGACTTCAGGTGATTCGCTTTCCTCAGCCTCCCAAACTGCTGGGATTAGACGTGAGCCACCATGCCTGGCTAGCTCCAAAATCTGAAACTTTCTGCATACTGACATGATTCCCCTCCACAAGTGGAAAGTTCCACACATAAGTACTTAACACAAACTTTGTTTCATGCACAAAACTATTTAAAATATTGTATACAATTACCTTCAGGCTGTGCTTATAAAGTATAAATGAAATTGGTCTTTGGACTTGGGTACCATCCCTAAGATACCTCATTACGAATAGGCAAATATTCCAAAATCTGAAAAAATCCAGAACACTTCGGATCCCAAGCATTTTGGATAAGGGATACTTAATGTGTGTGTATGTCTGTCTGTCTGCGTGTGTATATGTGTATAATATATATATGTACAATAGACATATATACAGAGCTGGGTGTATGCATATTTGTATGAATAGATAACATACATGTTTATTTTATATATATATATGTGAGACTGGGGACTAGGTGTATTTGGGTCATATTTGTATTCCAGGGTTGAGTCCATCAAATATGGCTTGAAAGGGCAGATGAATGAAGCAGTATTAACAATAGTAATTAAACATTTGCTTGATCCTTAGCAGGCATCCCCAGGCCACCACGTGAGAGGGCTTTAGATGCAGGATATTTTTTTTTGAGACGGAGTTTCACTGTTGTTACCCAGGCTGGAGTGCAATGGCGCGATCTCGGCTCACCGCAACCTCTGCCTCCTGGGTTCAGGCAATTCTGCCTCAGCCTCCCGAGTAGCTGGGACTACAGGCACACACCACCATGCCCAGCTAATTTTTGTATTTTTAGTAGAGACGGGGTTTCACCTCGTTGACCAGGATGGTCTCGATCTCTTGACCTCGTGATCCACCTGCCTCGGCTTCCCAAAGTGCTGGGATTACAGGCATAAGCCACAACTTCTGGCCTGATGCGGGATTTTTTTTGAACCCTCGAAGTCACCCATGAGACAGAGATGGCTCTTGCGGCCACTCAGCAGAGAGGAGGAAGCTCTAAGAGCTCTCTCTTGCCTCTGCCACCCAGGAAGGAACCACGGGCTAAAAGGAGAACTCATCATTGATAGGATCAGAACAATGTACCCATGAGGATAAGGCCTGTGTCTGTCGGTCATAGTTGAGGCCCCAGCAGTGGCCTAGGAGCACAGCACTCAGGAATGAATGGCTGCCAGTTATTAAGGGCCCATGGTGTACCAGACTCAGTGCTCACCAGTTTGGCATAGTAATCCTTTTCACAGGCCTGGAGGTAGATATGGATCATGCGTGTGTTGAAGGTGATGCCTCAGTAACAGCTAATGTGTTGAGCAGTCCTCTGGTAACCAGTACACTAGCTACTTGTCTGTGTCTCTGCTTCGTCAAAACCACACCCCAGACTGGGAGGTGGTTCTTTTTTTTCCGAGATGGAATCTCACTCTGTCTCCCGGGCTGGAGTGCAGTGGTGCCATCTTGGCCTACTGCAACCTCTGCCTCCTGGGTTCAAGCGATTCTCCTGCCTCAGCCTCCTGAGTAGCTGGGACTACAGGTGCATGCCAACAAGCCTGGCTAATTTTTTGTATTTTTAGTAAAGATGGGGTTTCACTATGTTAGCCAGGATGGTCTCGATCTCCTCACCTTGTGATCCACCTGCATCGGCCTCCCAAAGTGCTGGGATTACAGGGGTGAACCACCAAGCCCGGCTGGAGGTGGTTCTTATTATTTCCATTTTACAGAGGAGCAAACTGGAGCTCAGAAATGCATGGGCACAGTCACATAGCACTGGGGCAGAGCTGGCACTGTAACCCAGTCTCTGACCCTTAACCTCTCCAAGCTTTTTGCCTGCACGTCATCCTGCAGAAATGAGGGTCAAAAAGGTGAGGCATATAGCAAGACCCCATCTCTGCAAAAAATAGTTAAAAAGAAAAATCAGCCAGGTGTGGTGGCATGCACCTGTGGTCACTGCTATTCGGGAGGCTGAGGCAGGATGAGACAGGAGGATCTCTTGAGCTTGGGAGGGTGGGGCTACAGTGAGCTGTGATTGCACCAATGCACTGGAACCTGGGTGACAAGAGTGAGACCCTGTCTCAAAAAACAAGAAAGGTGAAGCAACTTGCCCAAGGCGCACAGCCAGGAGGCGAGACACCATTGTGGTTAGTCCTTAGAATTTGGAGTCACGGGGCTCTGGGTTCAAATTATAGTGATCCCGCTTACCTACAGTGTGGCATGGGCAAGTAACTGTCTCCCTGAGCCCGTCTCCCCGTCTCCTCTTCCGCATGTGAAATGATGTCACATCAACAGACAGCTTTGGCTGTAACAAACCTAAAGCATCCATCAATGGCTTCAACAAGATAGAAGTTTATTTCTTAGTCATAGAAAAGCCATGAGGTAGCCAGCTCAGCTCGGGGACCTAAGCTGCTGCTTTTTGTGGTTCTCCTGTGCACAGCTTCCCTTCCCAGTGTTGTGTCAAGGTCTAAGAGGCTCTAGCCATTGTGGCTTCATTTCACTCGGCAGGGAGGAAGAAGGGAGGAAAACGGGCAAAGCGCTCCTGCCATTCGTTGAGCAAGTTTCTAGGCCGGGTGTGGTGGCTCACACCTGTAATCCCAGCACTGTGGGAGGCCGAAGCAGGAGGATTGCTTGAGCCTAGGAGATCAAGACCAGTCTGGTCAACATAGTGAAATCCCGCCTATGCCAAAATATACAAAAATAGGTGGCCATGGTGGTGTGCGTCTGTGGTCCCAGCTCCTCCTGAGGTGGGAGGATTGCTTGAGCTCGGGAGGTGGAGGCTGCAGTGAGCTGTGATCGCACCACTGCACTCCAGCCTGAGCGAGAGAGCGAGAACTTGTCTTTAAAAAAAAATTTCCAAATGTTTTCCCATGACATTCCTACTCCTCCCCTGCTGACCAGGAAGTAGTGTCATGAACAGCTTCGAGAAAGGCTAAGAGGTATACACTTTATTTTAGGTCGCCCTGAGCAGATACATAGGGAGTTCTATTACTGTTGTGGGAAAGGGAATAGATGTGGGTTGCCAGTTAATGGTTTCCCACAAATGGCAGAGACTAGCACACGCCCCTCAGTGTTACAGGAGTGTTGGACACAGGGACCGCTGAGGAAGGCCTGGCCAGCGTTGCTATTGCTCAGTAAATGTTAGCTCTTGTTACTGACGTTATTGTTCGTGGTAGAGCTGGAGTTTGGATCCAGGTGGAGGGATGGTGAGAGGAAAGGTTGGAGCTGGGACTCCAGGCCCCCTCCTTGTTAGCAGGGGAGCTTGCTGCATTGTATTCCTCCTCAGGACCGTGGTGACAGCCAGCTCCTCTCACTGGATGACGGGGAGGCGTTCAAAGAACAAGTGTGTGTGGGTGCTTTGTGGTGCAGGCCTGTACAAGCGGCCATTGTCCCTGTATGTGAACGCGACCTGCATTCTGATCTGGGCTGCCAGGCTGTGGGTGATGGCTGGGCCGTGGCTGATGGCTGCTTTCAGGAGAAGGCTCTCATCGCAGTCTTGGGCTGAGAGCAGAGGCTGTGGGGCGAGTGTCACTGAGGCTGCAGTAGATTGTGGTAGGCTGAATGAGCGGGTCCAGATGTAGTTGGTTTCTCTCTTCCTGATCTGTCCTTGGTGCCTGCTTTCTCTCCCTGTCTTCAGTCCCAGGTGGACTCCAGGCCTGTCATTGCTCCTGTCCTTGTCAATGTTCCTTTTTAACAGTGGTTTGGATAAAGAAACAGCATCAGGATCCTATGTTGATATGGAAGTGAGAAGTAAACAGGTCTGTCTCCCACACCAGACTGTGACCCCATGAGGGCAGGGCCGGGGCTGTCTCAGTTATTGCTATGCCCTAGCACAGGGCCTGCTTAACAGTTGAATGAATGAATGAATGAGCAACTTCATGAACTCCTCTGACCCCATCTGATCCTAGAGACAGGATAATCCAGTGGTTAAGAATCGGTTTTGGGCCGGGCGCGGTGGCTCCCACCTATAATTCCAACACTTTGGGAGGCTGAGGCAGGTGGATCACCTGAGGTTGGAAGACAGCCTGACCAACATGAAGAAACCCTGTCTCTACTAAGAATACAAAATTGGCTGGGCATGGTGGCACATGCCTATAATCCCAGCTACTCAGGAGGCTGAGGCAGGAGAATCGCTTGAACCCAAGAGGCAGAGGTTGCAGTGAGCCAAGATTGCACCACTGCACTCCAGCCTGGGCAACAGGGCGAGACTCTGTCTGGGCCAGTGGGGAGTCCGTCCTATGCTACAATATTGATGAACCCATAATATCCAGGATGTTACGCTAAGTGAAATGAGCCAGCCACAAAAAGACAGTATTGTATGATTCCACTTAGAAGTACATAAATTAGTTAACCTTGCTTGAGCCCAGGAGTTCCAGGCTGCATTGAGTTATGATCACACTGCTTCACTCCAGCCTGAGTGACAGAGTGAGACTCCATCTCAAAGGAAGGAAGGAAGGTGGGGGGAAGAGAAAGAAAAAAAAGAAAAGAAAAAAGAAAAAAAGGCGCTCACTTCGGCAGCACACATACTAAAATTGGAACAATACGTAGATTAGCGTGGCTCCGGCACAAGGATGACACAGAAATTCTTGAAGCCTTGCATATTTTTGGTAAATAAAAAAAACTGAAAGAAAAGTCAAACCCTCAGAAAATATAGTCATGGTTGACAAGGACGGGGGAAGAGGAAAAGGGGAGTTCAGTTTGGTTTCAGTTTTGTAAGATTTTTTCAATCTTGCAACTTTTTCAGTTCTAGAGCTCCATTGCACCTAAGGTTGCATATAGCTACCGCTGCGGCACTGTCCGTTTAAAAATGTTAAGATGGTCAATTTTATGGTATATGTTTTTTACTACAATTAAAAAAAATTACTCTTGGCCAGGTGTGGTGGCTCACACCTATAATCCCAGCACTTTGGGAGGCCGAGGCAGGCAGATCACCTGAGGTCAGGAGTTCAAGACCAGCCTGGCCAACATGGGGAAATCCCGTCTCTACTAAAAGTACAAAAATTAGCCAGGTGTGGTGGCGCATGCCTGTAATCCCAGCTACTCGGGAGGCTGAGGCAGGAGGCTTGAACTCCCCAGGAGGCAGAGATTTCAGTGAGCCGAGATCGTGCCACTGCTCTCCAGCGTGGGCAACAAGAGCAAAACTCTGTCTCAAAGCAAACAAACAAAAAATTACTCTTAAATTAAAAATAAATAAATGAAAATTAAAAAGAAATAGATTTTGTAGTCAGGCCTCTCTGGGTCCAGATCCTAGTTCTGCTTATTCCTAGTGTTAGGCAGGTGTGCCCCACGGCTCTGAGCCTCAGTTTGCTCATCTGTAACATGGGCATAAGAATAGTACTTTTTGGGCTGGGCGTGGTGGCTCACGCCTATAATCCCAGCACTTTGGGAGGCCGAGGCAGGTGGATCACGAGGTCAAGAGATCGAGACCATCCTGGTCAACAAGGTGAAACCCCGTCTCTACTAAAAATACAAAAATTAGCTGGGCATGGTGGCGTGCGCCTGTAGTCCCAGCTACTCAGGAGGCTGAGGCAGGAGAATTGCCTGAACCCAGGAGGTGGAGGTTGCGGTGAGCCGAGATCGTACCATTGCACTCCAATCTGGGTAACAACAGTGAAACTCCATCTCAAAAAAAAAAAAATAATAGTACTTTTTGGCTGAGCACAGTGGCTCACACCTCTAATCCCAGCACTTTGGGAGCCCGAGGCAGGCAGATCACGAGGTCAGGAGTTTGAGACCAGCCTGCCCAACATGGTAAAAACCCCGTCTCTACTAAAAATACAAAAATTTAGTTGGGCATGGTAGCTCATGCCTGTAATCCCAGCTACTCCGGAGGCAGAGGCAGGAGAGTCACTTTAACTTGGGAGGCAGAGGTTGCAGTGAGCTAAGATCACACCATTGCACTCCAGCCTGAGTGACAGAGCAAGGCTGTCTCAAAAAAAAAAAAAAAAAATAGTATGTTTCTCCCATGGTTGGAAGTTCAAGTGAGTGCGCGTAAAACAGTGGCTGGTCTTGAGCAGGGTTCACTGATGTTTCCAGATACTCCCAACAGAGCCAGGCCCTGGACTCCAGGTGTTTACTCCCAGCTCAGTGCTTTTTCCTTTCTGCGAAGCTGACCCTGCCAGTAGCTTCCCCGTACCTGCCAAATTCTGTCCTACAAACAGTGTCCCATGAGTCCTGGCTGTGGGAACTGGGCATTTGGCCTGGAGCAGCCTCAGACGTATGATGGGATCTTGGCCTTGGACTTGGCTGGCCTGTCCCAGGGCAGAGGGAGCTGAGTGCGCTGTGTGGCTCCAGTTGAGGAATCAGCTAAGGAAGCAGGCGAGGTGCAGGGTGAGGAGCTGGACTCCAGCAGCTCCACCTCGCTGGGCCTGTGGTCTGAGCATTCCCCAGACTCAGTTTCTTAAGGCGTGAAATGAGGGTGCTAGCAGCCTGGCACCTGTCACGTAGTGAGTGCAGGGTTGAAACTAGCAGAGTTTTAGCTGTGGTCCCTGGTGAGTGACTCAGTTCCTTACACAGCCCAGGCTGCTTCTGCTCATCTGCTGGCTGAGGGCTATAGGGTGGGAGATGGAGACAGAGTGAGGGGGTTCAGGAGCTTGGAAACTTGGAGCTGATATTTTTTCCTGAAGGGGCTCAGAGTCCTCATCTGTTAGTAAGGGTTATTTCTCTCTTTCCTTCACTGGGTGTTGCTGAGCTCCTACCATGTGCCAGGTCCTATTCTAGGCCCTAGGGTTACAGCAGCCAACAAAACAGAGCCCTGCCTCATGGGAGTTACGTTCTAGCGTGGGAGACAGGTGGTAGATGAATATGAGGGACAGTGGCAGGTGGTAGCAGGTGCTCAGAGGAAAACAAGTGGAGTTAAGTGAGTGAATTATGTGAATTACATCTCAATAAAGCCACAGAGTGAAGGAGCTGGAATTGATAAGTGGGGAGCTATTTATTTGATTTTATAGGGTCACTGAGGACGGCTTTTAGTAGGAGATCTGAAAGGAACAGGGGAGCAAGCGCAGAGGTCCTGAGCAGAAGCGTGGGCATGTCTGGAGTGCCCAGGGAATGGCGTGAAGGCCAGTGTGCCTGGAGCAGGGGAGGGGCGGGGAGAAGTCAGAGAGGGACAGGCCAGTGCCTGTGAGGGCTGAAGGGGGCAGGGGGCAGCCCGACAAGTTTCAGTAAATTCCCTGGAGACAGAGCCAAGGGACAAGGCTGCCCAGTGGTCCAGTTGAGAGGGGATGCTGGCTGGACCAGGGTGGGGGTGGGGATGAGAAGTGACTGGACTCTGGGTATGTGTGCTCAGTCCAGATTTCATGGACAGGACAGCAGCCACTCCTACAGCTCTTGTTGGCTCCTCTGGGAGCACCCAGCAAGAGGTCAGCCAGGGCCCTGCTCTCTGGAAGCTCAGTGCTGGGAGATGGAGTTTCGCTGTTGTTACCCAGGCTGGAGTGCAATGGCATGATCTCGGCTCACCGCAACCTGCCTCCTGGGTTCAAGCAATTCTCCTGCCTCAGCCTCCCGAGTAGCTGGGACTACAGGCGCGCACCACCATGCCCAGCTAATTTTTTGTATTTTTAGTAGAGACGGGTTTCACCACGTTAACCAGGATGGTCTCGATCTTTTGACCTCGTGATCCACCCGCCTCGGCCTCCCAAAGTGCTGGGATTAAAGGCGTGAGCCACCATGCCCGGCCACCTTTTTGGTTTTTTTTTAAAAACAGCTTCATTGAGATACAGTTCACACAGTTCACTCATTGAAGGGTGTAAATCAGTCCTTTTCAGGATAGATTGTGCAGATATCACCACAATCAAATGTTAGAACATTTTCATTACCCCAAAAAGAAGCCCTGTAATTTCAGCACTTTGGGATGCTAAGGCAAATGGATCTCTTGAGTTCAGGAGTTCAAGACCAGCCTGGCCAACACAGTGACATCCAGGCTGTCTTAGCTGCTTGGGAGGCTGAGGCAGGAGAATTGCTTGAACCTGAGAGGCGGAGGTTACAATGATCCAAGATTGTGCCACTGCACGCCAGCCTGGGTGACAGAACCCAGTTAATTTTTTGTATTTTTAGTAGAGCCTGGGTTTCGCCATGTTGGCCAGGCCGGTGTCGAACTCCTGACCTCAGGTGATCCGCCTGCCTTGGCTTCCCAAAGTGTTGGGATTACAGGTGTGAGCCACCATGCCTGGTTAATTCCCTTATTTCTAAAGGTTAGCAGGTTGGTTCACCTCTGAGGTATGGCCCACTTGACCTCAGAAGTGAGCTTGCTGCTAAGCTTGGTTGTGTGTGAGGGGGTGGGGTTTGGAGCTCTTGGATGGTGACCTCAGTCCTGTTTGCTGCTGCAGAAGAAGGACCCAGCACAGTTCCTGCAGGTACACGGCCGAGCTTGCAAGGTGCACCTGGATTCTGCAGTTGCCCTGGCCGCTGAGAGCCCTGTTAACATGTAAGACTGATACGGAAACAGGGGAGTGTCTGTGACTGAAAGTTAGGAGTCAGAAGGGACCCGGGCTGGTGTAGAATCTGGAGCAGAGTCTGAAGTCTGGACAGATGTTTGGGGACTCAGGCAGGGAAGGCATGACCTGCATGTGAAGGTGATAGTCACAGGGTGTAAGAACAGTGGAGGCCCCAGAGTAGCAGTTGTGGTTGGAGGACTTAGAAATGGGTGGAGCCAGGGCTAGAGGCCCAAAGGAAGCAGAATTGGTTGCCAGCGGGGACTGTCTCAGGGTGCCTAGGGTCCTCACATACCCACTAGGACCTGGTTCAAGTGCCCCACTAGTGCTTGGTTCTGAGAAATGGGGCCCTGGTATCCCCAGGGGCAGTCAGATGACTGGCCTATTTCAGGTCCCAGGAGCCTGAATGTGGAGTCAGGGAAGCTTTCAACAGAGGGACTGAGAGCTGGGGCATGAGGCGAGGGCCGTGGCATGGGGACCAGAGTGGGCTGAGGGCCAGGCTTCCAAGCCTCAGCTGGCAGGGAGCAAGCACTGGGTCCTGGGCAGTGTGGACCCTGAGATTCTTGCTCTCCTGCTCCCCTCCCACTTCAGGATGCCCTGGCAGGGGGACACCAACAACATGATTGATCGCTTCGATGTCCGTGCCCACCTGGATCACATCCCCGACTACACCCCCCCGCTGCTCACCACTATGTAAGCCACCTCCCAGGGGGTTGCCAGGCACTGCACCAGGTCATACCCAAAAGCCCCTGTTCTTTTCCCAGCCTGCCTGTCACCTTCCTTGGAGCCCCTCCTATTTGTTACTGCCCTCAGCCTGAGGGGGACACCTCATTTCCCTTCCTGCTGGTTTGGGGTGGGATCTACCTGTTCCCTCTGATTTCAAGGTCTTTCCCTCCCCCAAAGCTCCCCAGAACAGGAGTCAGACGAACGGAAGTGTAACTACGAGCGCTACCGAGGCCTGGTGCAGAACGACTTTGCTGGCAGTGAGTGATCTGCAGGGGGACATGGGATGTGGGGCTTGGGGGCCCTGGAGCCTGGAAGACCTAGATCAATTTGGGAAGAAAAGTTTTATCCGTGTACTTCCTACTAAAGGGCCTTGGGTTCCTGCTCCAGCTCTGTGATAGACTCACTTTGCCTGCATCTCTTTCCCCTTCGGGGCCTCCGTCTCTGGATTTGGTATAGGGGACAGCTGCCGACTTGGTTGTTCCTGGCAGGGTCACTTCCATGTACTATGCCTTCTGACTCTGTGTTCTTTTTTCTTTAAAAAATAGGAAAAATAAGAATACATTTTTTTTTTTTGAGACAGAGTTTCACTTTTGTTGCCCAGATTGGAGTGCAATGGTGTGATCTCGGCTCCCTGTAACCTCAGCCTCCCAGGTTCAAGCAATTCTCTTGCTTCAGCCTCCCAAGTTACTGAGATTACAGGGCGTCCACCAGCACACCTAGCTAATTTTGTATTTTTTTAGTGGAGACAGGGTATCTCCTCATTGGTCAGGCTGGTCTTGAACTCCCGACCTCAGGTGATCCCCCCACTTCAGCCTCCCAGAGTGCTAGGATTACAGCTGTGAGCCACCGTGCCTGGCCCAAGAATACATTTTTTAAAACATTTATAAAGATGAGGGTCTCACTGTATTGTCCAGGTTGGTCTGGAACTCCTGGACTCAAGTGATCCTCTGCCTTGGCCTCCCAAAGCGCTGGGATTATAGACATGAACCACCATGCCCAGCCAAGAACACAATTTTTTTTTTTTGAGATGGAGTCTTGCTCTGTTGCCCAGGCTAGAGTACAGTGGCGCGATCTCAGCTCACTGCAGCCTCCGACTCCCAGGTTTAAGCAATTTTCCTGCTTCAGCCTTCTGATAGCTGGGACTACAGGCACATGCCACTGCGTCTGGCTAATTTTTTTTTGTATTTTTAGTACAAACGGAGTTTCACAGTCTTAGCCAGGATGGTCTTGATCTCCTGACCTCGTGATCCACCTACCTTGGCCTCTCAAGGTGCTGGGATTATAGGCTGAACCACCACCCTGCCCAGCCTAAGAACACATTCTTTACCTCTGTGTATTTTCCTCTGCCTGCACAGATCAAATTGTCAGCTCTGAAGAGGAAATTTCTCCTTGATTTAAATTTGACAATGTGCCAAGTGTTCATGTATGTCCAGGAATTTTCCCCCAGCTTTATCACCATTGTCAGTGTCCAAATGAGAAAACAGATGTTCAGGGAAACTCTCTGCTCTGGGCTTGTCCAGGGAGCTTTGTACCCCCACAGACCTGGGCTTTTTTGTCTGTATTATCTCATTACATCTGTACAACCACCTGTCGAGGTAGGGGTGACACCCCGTTTTTGTTTGTTTTATTTTTTTTTTGAGACGGAGTCTCACTCTGTCACCCAGGCTAGTGTGCAGTGGAACAATCTCGGCTCACTGCAACCTCTGCCTCCTGGGTTCAAGCAATTCTCCTGCCTCAGCCTCCCAAGTAGCTGGGATTACAGGTACCTGCCACTTCGCTTGGCTAATTTTGGTAGTTTTAGTAGAGATGGGGTTTCATCATCTTGGCCAGGCTGGTCTTGAACTCCTGACCTCATGATCTGCCTGCCTCAGCCTCCCAGAGTGCTGGGATTACAGGCATGAGCCATTGTGCCCAGCTGTCCCACCATTTTACAGACAAGGACATGGAGGGGGAACACCCTCTCCAAGGAGCTGGGATTCTCCACGTGTTTTTAACCGCTGCTCTCTCCTGATGGAAAACTCCTAACTCACCTACCAAGAAGGACTTGAGATTCCTTCTCTTGGGGTTCCCTGTAGAGTTAAGGGAAGGATGGAGTTCTCTGCTTGGTTTGTCCCTTACCACCTGGCGGGTCTGTTTCCTCCTTGAGAAGGGTGGTGATGATTTTATCGAAGGGGCGGTCGTGAGAGTTGAGTGAGGTGATGTGTTTACAATCACAGCACTGAGCCTGGCACAGATGGCCCTCCATATGGGTTTGCTGGTCCAGTATGTGTTTATTGCTAAGATAGATGCTGCTTTATTTTCTAAAATCAGAGGTTGCTAAAATTCTAACCATCACTGAGGCCTTAGAATCACGGAAATCTGTTATTGATACCATTTTTGCCATCATTCCAGGCCATGTGGATTCTTGATGGTAGAGCCAGGGTTCCCCTTAGTTTCATCTCAGTCTGCATTCATTCATTCATTCATTCACTCACTCATTCACTTCCACACACAGTAACTGAGCACCTGCGGTGTGTCTGGTACTACTCTGGGATCAGTGGCATGGTAGGGGAGAGGGCAGCAACTCCATACTCACTCTCAGTGCTGACGACTGCAAACCAAGGTGATGTGGCAGACAGTATGCCATTCCCTGAGAAACAGAAGTCCTGGTCCGAGGCTGAGTAGTAGCTCCCTGGGAGGCATGGGTAGGCCACAGGATTCCAGGCCAAGAGTAGCCTGTGCAGAGCCCTGTGTGGGGCAGGACTGTGGGCACACTGGAGGGGTAGAGAGAAGGTCTGTGCCGCTAGAGCAGGGAGAGCAATAGAGCTTGTGTGAGACAGCCAGCAGGCCCTCTCCTGGACTTTGGAGATGAGGAGTAGAAACAGGTGTCTGCCAGAGCAAGGAAGGGCCATTCTGCATCTGTTTCTGGCCTGCCAGCCCACCCACCTCTGGTTCCAGATAGAAAAGCTGAGGCCCAGGAAGGGAGCGAGGGAGGGAAGGGGGAAGAAAAGGAAGGAAGGGAAGAAGGGGACTCACCCAGAGTCCTGCAGCGAGTCAGAGACGTGTCTGCAGGGAAGATCAGGGAGGCTCTGGTACATTGTTGAGCCCCCCAAGCTGGGTGTTGGGGGGTGCAGGTGATCCCAGCCCACACCAAACTTAAACCGAGCCACAGAGGGCCACGCAATGGAGTGAACTGTGCAGTCAGAATGGCATGTGGCACTGGGTTATGGTTCTGAAGGGTCCAGCCCGAGACCTCCAGAAATGGTGAGAATGGTGGTAGAGTGCCCACATACCAGGCACTCACTCTGCCTGTGGTCCCATTTTATGAAAAAGGAAACTGAGGCACAGATGTGTTCAGTCACTCGCCCAAGGTCGTGTATCCAGTGAGTGGTGTGTCCAGGGCTCTGCTGTAGTTGCCTGCATCCTACCAGGCACAGTTTGATTATCTGGAAGCGGCGACTGCCCCCAGCTGCACGGGGGTTGCACCCGTCTTCCTGCCCCACCGCACCCTTGTGTTTCCCCGCTGAACTCCTAGGGTCCCCCACCCACTCTGACCCGGGGCCTCTTGTTTGCTGCAGTCTCAGAGGAGCAGTGCCTGTACCAGATCTACATTGATGAGTTGTATGGAGGCCTCCAGAGACCCAGTGAAGATGAGAAGAAGAAGTGAGTTGGGGTCTGGGATGCAGGGGTTGAGGAGGCAGGAGGGCTGCAAGCCCCAGCGAGGCCTGGCCCCTTGCATCCTGTCCACCAGGGTCTCCACAGAACCGAGGATGGTGTTCAGCACACAGTCAGTGCTCAATTAATAACTGTAGAGGAGGAAGCCCTACCGGGGGGCCAGGGCTTGCTGAGAGCTTTGCTTTACATTCTCAGCTTGGGGAGTAGGGGAGGTGCAGGCCCTATGGTGAGACAGTCCCGTGTTTGAATCCTGGCCATGAGGCCCTGAGTGGAATCCTCTCAGCCTTGCCATGCTTCCCTGTAATGTGGGGTTGGCTGGAGTCCCGGCTGCCTGGAGTTGGGAGGAGTGCAGGAGGCGCAGTTTGTGAAGTACCTGTCCCAGTGGTGTAGTGAGCTTGCAGTCAGCCCTAGCTGATGTCACTCTGGAGAGAGGCTTCTCAAAGCTGTGTCCCTCAAGGAGGCCTTATCCTGGAGCAGCTGCCTCTGAGTCTCACGTGTCTCTTCTCCACCTCCGTCTGATGAGCGCAGGCCCCCTGCCCTCACACACTGTTCCTCTGCAGGGCTTACTGCTCCTCCTCCAGGCCAACTGCTGTTGCACCGGTGCACAGTAGCCTGGAGCCCTGCTCCCCCTGACTGCTGGCTGCCTTCCTCCACTGGGAGGGGTCCCGCCGGACTGGACTGGGAGCTTCTTGGAGACTTTGACCCTTGTCCATGGCCCCAGCTTCAGGATCTTGCTCAGGCCCCTTGGGCCCTGCTCTGTTCAGAGCAAAGGTGGGGCACCTGTCCGCTCAGGAAGACTCTGGGCTGTGCCCTCATGGGGCTCATGGTGTAGGTGGGAGACAGATGTTCCCCAACAGAGGTGACCCAATGAAGGCAGGGCTGGGGAGCTCAGGATGGTGTCCACCCACCCTAGGGAAGAAGTCCAGGACTTCTTGGCAGTGGGGCCCGGGAGCTCAGATGTGGAGGAAGAGGGAGGAGCTGGGTATGGGCAGGAGCAGAGGGTCCTAGGATGAGGGAGAGCCTGAGGAGAGGGCAGTGGCACTCGAGAGGCCTTTGTGTGGGGCCGGACTGGGCCTTTGTCTCCGCTGGGCAGGGCCCTGGCTCACCAGCTCCCCCATCCCAGGCTGGCAGAGAAGAAGGCTTCCATCGGTTATACCTACGAGGACAGCACGGTGGCCGAGGTAGAGAAGGCAGCAGAAAAGCCAGAGGAGGAGGAGTCACCGGCCGAGGAGGAGAGCAACTCGGACGAAGATGAGGTCATCCCCGACATCGGTGGGGTCCCCTCTCTGCCCTCCCCACCTGCAGTCCCTGGGCATCGTTTTTGTGTCTCGTCCGTCACCCTCTGTGGGGCACCCCAAGTTATGCGCCCTGTCTCTCTCCCTCCCCTGCCCCAGGGCACCCAGTCTCCTGCCACCTCTGTCTCGCTCCACTCCCGACCTCTGTTCCCGCCTTCCTCTGTCTCACTCATCTCATTTCTAGGGCACTGTTTCTGTGATCTTTTCCCCTCCTAGGTGTGGGCTTCGTTCTCCTCCACCTGGGCCGGCCTCTCCCTCTGCCTCTGCCCCTCTTTCCTGCTTTCTTCCCTCCTCTGGAAAACAAATGTTCATCCTCTTACGGAGTCATCCCTCATCCCTTGGGCATCTGTTTGCCTGTCCCTCCCTCTACCTGCCACTCACCTCCCCTCTGGATTCCCATTGATCAAACCACCCCCCAGTCTCTTGGTTTTTCTCATCCTGGCTTTCACTGCAGCAGCCGGCTCTTTATTCACACTCTGCAGAGCTGCACACTGACCTCTGCCCAGCCCTCCTTCTACCGGCTAATCATGTGCCCTGCTCCCAGATGCCTGCGACCCGCACCCTGCCTGCTGGGTGATCTTCAGCCACCATCTGTCTGCCCCCGTTTGCTCCTCCCTCTCACGTCAACCCTGCCACACACGTTTCACTCATCCATTCCTCCCTCCTTTCGTCCACCCATCCCTCTCTCCCACCTTCCCTTCCTGCATTTCACCCATCCCTCCTGTCCTCCATCTGTCCCTCCACCCATCCATCCATCCATCTCTCCTTCCCTTTCCTTCCCTTCGTTCATCTGCCCCTTCCAAGCTCTGTCCCCAGCTCCCTCCATCCACCGTGTGTTGTGCTCACCTCTGGCCAAGCCCTGTGCCAGCCTAGGGGATGCCAAGATGAGCCAGAACCAATGCCATCCCTCCCTGAAGATTCCTACAGTCTGGCAGGCGCCCCATCCACCCCAACCTCCCAGGGCACTGCCCTTCTCCCCAGTCCTCGCCTGGCGGTGGCTCCTGACAGCCTTTCTCTTGGTGCAGACGTGGAGGTGGACGTGGATGAACTGAACCAGGAGCAGGTGGCAGATCTCAACAAACAGGCCACTACTTACGGCATGGCCGACGGCGACTTCGTCAGGTGAGGCCTGCCTGCTGACACCCTTCCCCACTTTGTAGGTCCCACCCTGGTATCTGTTACCCTCAATACTGACAGCCAGACTCGTGAGCACTTGTCTGCCTGGCCCTGGGCCCAGGACTTTACACATGTAGGTCCCCGAGCCTACGGTGGTTGTGGGACCACTTCATCTGCAGAAACAGGCTACACCAAAAATCACCCAGCCTGCCCTACCTAGTGTGACCTGGAGTGAATCTGACCCTTTGATGCTCAGGGGATTCCTAGGCTGGGGGACAGCGACCACTAGTGGAGAGGCTTTGTTTTCTGGTCATTCATCCATCCCAGCAGTTGCTGGTCATACCTCTGCCCTGAGCCACACCCTGTTCTGAGCTCACAAGACCACACAGGATGGTCCCAGCTCACTGGGCAGTGAACCAGAAACCGAGCCTGAGCATGGCACCCTCTGCCCAGAGCCCTTTGTGGCTCCCACCTCCTTCAGGAGCATCTGGTGCCCTCACCATGGCTGTAAGGTCTTACCCATCTGGTCCTCTTGACTGCCCCATCCCCCCTGCCCAGCCTCCATGGCCTCCTTGCTCCCCAGGTGCAGAGGCCCTGGCCGGCCCCTGGGCTACTCTGGCTGCTGTGCGCCTCAGGCATCTGTAGCTTGCTCTCCCAGGGTTCTCTCCAGATGCCCTGTTTTGTGTGGCTCTCCTGAGCTCCCTCCTGAAAAGTGCAGCTTCCTCTGCCTTTACTGTCTCATGGACCATGTATTTTATTCCCTTGCTCATGATCTTCTCCCCTAGAATGTAAGCCCATGCAGGTGAGGATTTGTTTTCTTTTTTCAGTTCTGATTTTTTTTTCATGTACCAAGAACCTAGTTTTAGCTGATTCAGTTCTGATTTCTTGATAACCTAAAATAGCACCTGGCACCCAGAGGGTACTCGATAAGTTGCACTGAATGAAAGACACCTCAGGCTGGCGTGTGGTGACTTGGGTCCCTCACTTTTTTGATGAGTCAGCCTGTGTCCTTGCCTTGTGGCCTGCCTCTCCTCCAACCTGATTCTCACCCCTCTATAGGATGCTCCGGAAAGACAAAGAGGAGGCAGAGGCCATCAAGCATGCCAAGGCCCTTGAGGAGGAGAAGGCCATGTACTCGGTGAGGGCTGGGCTGGAGTGGAAGGGGACAGGGGTGTGTCTCAGGGAGGGTACTCCTCACCAGCCTGGCACCTGCCCTACTCCAGGGACGCCGCTCTCGACGCCAGCGGAGAGAGTTTCGGGAGAAGCGGCTGAGGGGTCGCAAGATCAGCCCACCCAGGTAGGGCTTCTCCCTCAAGCCCCACCCTGCTGGCATCTGGGGGCGGGGAGCAGAGACTTAGGGCCTGAGAAGGGTCTTTGGAGGGAAGTGAAGGAGTCTTCCTAGCGGGGTGAAACGTGGCCTGCGGGAAGGTTTAGAGGTAGGGACGACCTTGAGGGTCATGTGGACTCCTTTCCTTGCCCTCCCCTCACCCTCCTGGACTGGGGGTCCTTGCCAGACTCCCAGGAGCCCATGCACAGGCAGCATGAGGCGATCTCCGGGTGGCAGAGGAACTGAGGGCAGTGCAGAGGGCACAGGTCTTGCCCTGGACTCTCAAGCAGTTCTGCTGCTTGGCCACTTCCTGTGTTGGAGTTTGGGCAAGTGATTTCCCAAACACCCTGAGCTTCACTTCCTTCCTTTGGAAAACGAGGCATTATCACCTACCAGGAGAGAGCTGGGGCAGTCCCCGTGAGGAGGTCTTGGGACAGGCTTGGATGAGGCAGTCTGGCTTGGAGCACAGAGCCCAGCGTGGGTTGGGGGTCCTTGAGGAGAGAGAGGCTCCATGCAAAGCCATGCCTCTTTTTGCCACATCTCTTAAAGGACAGTGGTTGAGAGTTCTTCTAAGGCTAAAACGACTTGTAGGTTCAGGGCTTGGCATGGGAAACATCCCTTAAAGAGTACCACTGATTGTCGCTGCCGTCAGTGCTGGCACAGGCGCACGTAAGGCAGGCAGGAGAGCCCAGGCTGGGTACCTGTAGGGCCTAGGTTTGGATCCCGGTTTCTTCATTTATGAGCTGTGTGATGCTGGACAAGTGACTTCACATCTCTGGGCCTCAGTTTCCTCAGCTGATAGTCTTTTTGTTATTGTTCTGTCACCCAGGGTGGAGTGCAGTGGTGCGATCACGACTCACTGCAACCTCAAACTCCTGGGCTCAGGTGATCCTCCCACCTCAGTCTCCTGAGTAGCTGAGACTGCTGGCATGCATCACCACACCCAGCTAATTAAAAAGTGTTTTGTAGAGACGGGATCTTGCCATGTTGCCCAGGCTGGTCTCAAACTCCTGGGCTCAAGTGATCGTCCCACCTCAGCCTCCCATAGTACTGGGATTACAGGCGTGAGCCATCGTACCCAGCCTATTTTAGTCTTACCATCATCTTCATCATCGTTAGTAAGTCTGGACCCAGTGAGAGCCAGAGACGAGGAACAGGAGGAGGGATGCTTTCATTCTAGGGTCAGGAGGCCAAGCAGAACCAGGGCTGCTGAAGTCCAAGTTCCTCAGAGTCATGATGGGTCTGGGACATTGTGGGGCGGGGCCTAAGTTCATGCTTTGGACAGATCTGAGGTGGGGGTGGGTGGAGGACTCAAGGGAAGGCCCCCAACCTGGTCAGCAGCCCCCTCACTGTGCCAGGTACCTAGCATTGGGTCTACAGGTTGACAGGCTTATCCCAAATTCATACCTGCCGAGATCTTAAGCCCCAACTTGTCCCACCCCATTCTTCTCTCTGTAGCTATGCCCGCCGAGACAGCCCCACCTATGACCCCTATAAGCGGTAAGTCCTCCAGAGGACCAGGGAGTAGCAACCAGGGAGCCCCCTGGTGGGGGACAGGGGCGCTGAGGAGGGCGGGACGTTCACTCACTCAGGCCACCCCTAGGTCACAGACTGCATGTGTTCTGGGTCTGAATAGTTCTTGTGTTTTCCAGATCATTGCCTTGTTTTCCCAGTTTTAAATAAAATTTTGTTTATAGTTGAAGCTTATTTTATTTTTCTGATTTAAATACAATGCAGTCTTGTAAAAATGTCCAAACATGGCAAAATGGGGTGACTGAGAAATCAGATCACTTTAATCTTAATTTCTGGAAGTAAGTGGGAAATAACAGGCACTCAGTAGCACCGCTGAGCATAGGTGCTTGTCTGGTGGGTGAACAAGTGGTTGGAGCAGGGATTTTGAGAGGGACCAAGCTCGATTTGTTCCCAGTCCCCCTCATCCAAGCTCCAAAGCTCTCTGAAGCCCAGTTCCCCCTTCAGAATGTGGGGGGATGGGATCTGTCTGATGGGGCTGTGGGCAGAGGTTCGATGAGATGGTGTAAGTGGCTTTTGGTGACATAAAAGGTGTAGGTTAGTATTCCATACATGGGAGTGTCAGGGATATATCAGGTACCTTCTATTTTATTTCCTAAAAACTTTTTTTTTCTTTAAAAAAAAATTAAGATAGGGTCTCACTATGTTGACCAGGCTGGTTTTTCAAGCAACCCTCCCACCTGGGCCTCCTCTCAAAGTTCTGGGATTACAGGCGTGAGCCACCAGGCTTGGCCACTTTCTTTTTATTTTACTAAAATGGAATTGTACCATACTTAGTATTTTAGAACTTGCTTTTTCTTCCCAGACTATCCATATATCTTTTGAATAAAACTTTTCTGTGTTTAGTACGGAGATCTGCTTTTTTTTAGATGGAGTCTTGCTCTGTTGCTCAGGCTGGAGTGCAGTGGTGCAGTCTGGGTTCACTGTAACTTCTGCCTCCTGGGTTCAAGCAATTCTCGTGCCCTCAGCCTCCTGAGTAGCTGGAATTACAGGCATGTGCCACCATGCCTGGCTAATTTTTTAATTTTTATTTATTTATTTATTTTTAAGAGACGGGGTTTTGGCCAGGCTGGTCTTGAACTCCTAGTCTCAAGTTACTGGCCTGCCTTGGCCTCACAGAGAGCTGGGATTATAGGTGTGAGTCGCCACGCCCGACCTGCTCATTAGTTTTTCATATAAAGAACAGTTGTCTGTCATTGTCCTTCCTGATTATTTAGCCAAGGCTGCCTGGTCGTTAAGTCAAGTCCTTGTCCGGAGCTGGGTCTCCACTACCCTTCAGGCTCCATCCACCCGCCTGGCTTCCCGGGTCACTGTGGCCCACGCTGGCGCTGCTGTAGCTCTGCTGTGCATGCTGTTCACTGAGGGGCTCAGGGAGCCTGGATGAGTGAGCCCCCTCTTCCCTGCCCATAGGTCGCCCTCGGAGTCCAGCTCGGAGTCCCGCTCCCGCTCCCGCTCCCCCACCCCCGGCCGTGAGGAGAAGATCACGTTCATCACCAGTTTTGGGGGCAGCGATGAGGAGGCAGCTGCAGCCGCTGCTGCCGCAGCCGCATCAGGGGTCGCCACAGGGAAGCCCCCCGCACCCCCCCAGCCTGGCGGCCCTGCCCCGGGACGTAATGCCAACGCCCGGTCGGTAACGCTCACGCCGCCCGCCCTACGCCCCGGCCACCATGGGGGGGACACGGGGCAGAGAGGGGCCACGGCTGAGGCCTGCGCTGACCCGCCCTCCGTGCTCTGCCTGCAGCCGCCGCTCCTCCTCCTCCTCCTCCTCTTCCGCCTCGAGGACCTCCAGCTCCCGCTCCAGCTCTCGTTCCAGCTCTCGCTCGCGCCGTGGCGGGGGCTACTACCGTTCAGGCCGCCACGTTCGCTCCCGGTCCCGCTCCTGGTCCCGGTCCCGCTCCCGGTCCCGCCGCTATTCCCGGTCCCGCAGCCGTGGTCGACGGCACTCAGGTGGGGGTTCCCGAGATGGACACCGCTACTCCCGCTCGCCCGCTCGGCGTGGTGGTTATGGGCCCCGTCGCAGAAGCAGGTATGTGCAGCTGGGCATGGAGGCGGGAGGGGCTGGGGCTACGGACTCCAATCTCGGGGAGAGGTGCTCAGAGGAAGAAAACCTGACCACCCAGCTGAGAGAACACCCCGTCCGAGGGGACAGGCACAGGCCACTGCTCTCTACAGGAAGCCCTTGGTTGGAAGGAGGGAGGCATGGGTGCGCCTGTTCTGTGCATGCGCATCCTGGTGGCAGTGGAGGTGGAGCCCAGGCACTGTTTTCCAGCACAGGGTGTGGAGAGGAGACTGCACCTCTCTCTCCTGAGGAGATTCTGTCTTTGCTGTCAGGGTTTCCAGCCTGAGGGGAGTAGTGCGTGGATGCTCCAGGTTATGCTGTAGCTTGCAGTGAGGGGCCTGGGTCTTGAGGGCTAGGAAACCCTGTGGGATGCGTTCCTATGTGGCCAGGAGTGGATGGGGAAGCAGGTGGGAAAAATAAAGACAGCTCATTGACGGGTCGAGGTGGCTCACGCCTGTCATCCCAGCACTTTGGAGGCCAAGGCAGGCAGATCACCTGAGCTCAGGAGTTCAAGACCACCCTGGGTAACATGGTGAAACCCCGTCTCTACTAAAATAGAAAAAATTAGCCAGGCATGGTGATGCGCACCTGTAATTCCAGCTACGTGGGAGGCTGAGGCACGAGAATCACCTGAACCCTGGAAGCAGAGGTTATAGTGAGCCAAGATTCGGCCACTCCATCCCCTTCCAGTCCCCTTGCCTGTGCAGGTCAGGGCTGGTCTGGGAAAGGCAGCAAGGCTGGGTTGGTGGGAGCATGGACTGAGTTTAGACTCCTGGGTCTCTTTGCTTCTGTAAAGTTGCGGTAATACATCCACTTCTCTGGGCTGGCTGTTAGAGGTACAACAGGTAAACCCACGTAAGGTGCTTAGGACAGGGCTGGTGCTGGCTAAATGCTGCTCATGTCGTCAGTATGATTGCCTGCATTACTATAGCAGGGATCACCGTGTCCACTGCTGCATGGTCTGGCGGGTCAAGTCGAGGGGCCAGGTAGAGACCGAGCTGACCTGGCAAGCATGTATTCCCTATGGGGGGGGCAGTGACTGCTCAGCAGCAGGTCTGGGGTCACCCAGTTCCAGTTATCAAGAGAAGTTGAGGGTCTGAATTTTTAGATAGCTCTTGTTTTCTTTTCTTTTCTTTTTTTTTTTTTGAGACAGAGTGTTGCTGTGTCACCCAGGCTGGAGTACAGTGGCATGATCTCGGCTCATTGCAACCAACCTCCACCTCCTGGGTTCAAGCTTTTCTCCTGCCTCAGCTTCCCAAGTAGCTGGGACTACAGGCGCTCACCACCACGACTGGCTAATTTTTGTATTTTTAGTAGAGACGAGGTTTTACTGTGTTGGCTAGGCTGGTCTCAAACTCCTGACCTTGTGATCTGCCCGCCTCAGCCTCCCAAAGTGCTGGGATTATAGGTGTGAGCCACGGCGTCTGGCCCTTGTTTTCTTAATAATGACAATAAATCTTAATTTTATAAAAACAATACAAAAATTAGCCTGGCCTGGCGGTGCACATCTGTAATCCCAGCTACTCGGGAAGCTGAGGCAGGAGAATTGAACCCAGGAGGCAGAGGTCGCGCAGTGAGCTGAGATTGCACTGCACTCCAGCCTGGGCAACAGAGAGAGACTGTCTCAAAAAAAAAAAACGCAAGAGAACCCAAGCAGTCACTGTGTGGTCCAGAAAATTAGCTTCCAGGTCATACATTCCTTGTAATGTACCCAGAGCAATGACAGGAGAAAGGTTTGAGGGGCAGATGGGGCCTGGGCATACCATGAATGCCAGCCTGAGAGTGGGTGCTGCTGGCTGGAGAGTCCCACCAGGGTCCTGAGCAGGGAAGGGATGGGGTTCCACATCCCCAGACTGGAACTTGTGGGTCTGTGCTGAGACTGGTGGAGGACAAGGGGTGGTCCCCACTGCTTTCGAGACCCTGGACACCAGCAGCATGAGGAGGTGGGTGAGGGTGTAGGTGAGGTCACTCTGAAACACCGTTGTGCCTGAGCTGGGCACAGCTCTTAAAGGGGAGCCAGCCATCCCTCCCAGGGCTCATCTCCCAGGAAGTTGGCAAGTGGGTGTCTAGTGAGGGAGAGGTGACACGCACCAGGCAGAGCTCATGATGGCAGGACTGCCCTTAGGTCTGTCGTATCTAGAGCGCCATCTCTGTAGCAGGAGGGAGGCCAGAGTGCAGAGCTGGGGATTTCCAAGGGAGAGTAGCAGGAGAGGAGAGTCGAGCCTGTCACCCCAGGCCTTGCAGGAGGACTGTGGATCTGGAGCCAGGGTGGAGTACGGTTGGGAATCCTGTAGTCTCACCATCCTCCTCCCGCCCTGCTGCATCCACAGGAGCCGCTCCCACTCAGGGGACCGCTACAGGCGGGGCGGCCGGGGCCTCAGGCACCACAGCAGTAGCCACAGCCGCAGCAGCTGGTCCCTCAGCCCGTCCCGCAGTCGCAGCCTGACCCGAAGCCGCAGCCACAGCCCCAGCCCTAGCCAGAGCCGCAGCCGCAGCCGCAGCCGCAGCCGCAGCCAGAGCCCTTCGCCATCACCCGCAAGAGAGAAGCTGACCAGGCCGGCGGCGTCCCCTGCTGTGGGCGAGAAGCTGAAAAAGTGAGCAGGGCGGGTCTGGAGGAAGAGGGCGGCCAACCTTGGGTGGGAGGGTGAACATCTCTGTTTTCTTTACGAGGGGAATTTAGTCCTACCCCAGAGGCCTGGGGGGTGGGGCATGGCCCTGGCCTGGGAAGGTGGATTTCAGGGGGTCATAGCCCTGGCCTGGGGGGTCTGAAGAGGACACATCAAATCCTGGAGGATCTGCCGAGTAAGAACCTTTTCCTGGTCAGAGGGGGACAGGGCCCTGTCTTGCAGACACTGTGGGGTCTGAGAGGGACATGGTCGCACCCGGGAGGTTCTGAGGCCCATGCCTTGGCTGCCTGGTCTGAGGGCAGTGCTGAGGCTGGGGTCAGAGGTGGAAGCTGCCCTTTCCTCCTCCCAACTATGTCCTCTGGCCCTGCCCCCACCCAGGACCGAACCTGCCGCTGGTAAAGAGACAGGAGCTGCCAAAGTCAGTAAGAATTTGGAACTCGCCCGTCTAATTCCCGTCAGCAGCAGTGCCCAAGAGCTGGGCCCGGTGGGCCTGCAGGGGGGCCCGGGTGGGCTGGGAGATCCAGCCCCAGGGACTGGGAGGGGAGGGGAAGGACCTGCCCCCATGAGAACCATGTCCCCCTCCCCTCCTCCCTGTACACTGGGGCTCCACTTGTTGCTGAGCCTCTGGGAGCCTCGGGGCTGTCCACAGCCTGCCCCTCCTCCCCATGTTATCCCTCCCCTCCCCAAAGCCCCAGGCTCTTGGCTGAGGTGGGTTGTGGGAGCTCTGGGACACCCACCCCCTCTCCTGCCTCTTCCCCCTCCCCAGCCCAAGCTGACGCCGCAGGAGAAGCTGAAGCTGAGGATGCAGAAGGCGCTGAACAGGCAGTGTATGTCCTGTCCCGTCCCTCCAGGGTTTCCCAGCTCTTCTTCCCCTTGGCAGTGGGAGCAGGGAGAGCTGGCGCCACATCGGGAAGCTTGGCCCTTCCCTAGAGAGGCTGCACAGGCGCAAAGGTGCTCAGGGCAGGAGTGGGTTGGCATCGGCTCCACTGCCGCCGTGCTGGGGTCTCTGCAGTCACGTTGGCCTGTCTGAGCTCAGCTTCCTCATAGAGTGGGGCTCTTAAGAGCACTCCTCAGCCACCATGTTTCTTCCTCCCTACAGTCAAGGCGGATAAGAAGGCGGCACAGGAGAAGATGATCCAGCAGGAGCATGAGCGGCAGGTGAAGGGGGGAAGGGTGGGCTGGGGTGGCGGGCCTGTGCGGGCCTGGCCATGCCCTCATGGCCCTCGTCTGCTGCAGGAGCGGGAAGACGAGCTTCGAGCCATGGCCCGCAAGATCCGGATGAAGTAAGTCCTTGCCCTTCCCTGTCCCGTGGCCACACCTCCTGCTTCTGGGCTGCCTGGCCTTCCCACCAGGAGCCCTGCCCAGCCCACTGTGGGTGGATGAAAGGCAGAGCCCTGCCTGGCCCTCGGGGCTATGCCCAGCCACCTCTCTTGCTCCTCTCCCTCAATTTCCTTCCTCTGTTTTGGCCTGCCTCCTGCCACAGTGACCTCCTCCCAGCTCCTCCAGCCTCCAAGTGCCAGTCACCTTTGTTCTTCTGTTGGCCTGGCAAGCTGCTCCCCATACCCTCTTAGCCGTCCACCACCACGAGTCTCCTGCTCCAGCCTCAGTTTGTTCATCTCCTAAGTGGAGGTGGAGTCATTGTCCGCCCCCCACAGGCTGGGGAGGATTTGACATGAACACAGCCAGGCATGGAGAAGGCAACCCGTAGATGCGGCTGTTGGGTTGCCAAGCCTGGCCACTGGGACAGAGACCATTTCAGCACCCAGTGTGTGCAGGTGCCCCCGAGGCAGGGAATGATGGGACTGTCCAGCCTTCCTCTGTTCAGCAAGGCTTTCCTAGGAAGCAGGGCTGGGATTCCAGTCGGCTCTGCCAGCTGGGGTCCCTCTGAACCTGGGGCTCCCTTTCCAAGCTAGGATTGGTGGCAGTACCAGCCCCCTTGGTTTTACTGTCTTCCTTGGAGTAAGGTGTCGGAAGCACCTGCCTCCCAGTTCAGTGTGTCCAGTGTTCCCGGCCAGATGCTCATGCCTCATCTTTGCAGGGAGCGGGAACGCCGAGAGAAGGAGAGAGAAGAGTGGGAGCGCCAGTACAGCCGCCAGAGCCGCTCACCCTCCCCCCGCTACAGTGAGTGTCCCGGCCAGGCTGGAGGGCTCTGGGGCTTTAAAGAAAAATGTCAAACATGGTTACCAAAAAAACGTAGTACATGTTCCACATTAGCCTCACAGAAATGAAATCTCTTCAGACATGCACACGTGTGTACACACACACACACACACACACACACACACACACACACAGTGATTGCAAGAATTAGAAGAAATGCTTATTCCAGCATAGGCTGGTAAGGAGCACAGATTGCAGCCACTGGACTCTCTAGAAACGCCATCCCCTCATGTGGAGACAACACCTGAAGTTTAGCTTTGAGGACCTTGTCCCAGGTCAGGGAAGAGGCTCTGGCCCTGGACGTTTGCTCAGTCTTCACCTGTTCTTTTCTTTCCAGGTCGAGAATATAGCTCTTCTCGAAGGTAAGGAAGCCCATGACCTTCTACTTCCTGGGAAGCTACACTTGTCCTTTGATGGGAGAGCCTGGGGTCCTGGCTCTTACTCCTCCAGCCTCACCCCGTGCCCACCTCCAGCTGGAGGGGTTGGTCCCATCCTTTGGGGAGTGTCCCTCCCACTGCAGACAAGTCCCCTGATCACAGATGCCTCCGTGGCCCCAAGTGTGTTGGTGTGGATGCCTCATCCTCACGTTCCCTCCCTTTCTTTTTCCAGGCGCTCAAGGTCCCGATCTCGAAGCCCCCATTACCGACATTAGGCAGAAGGGGGGGTGGGGAGGACAAGGGGGTGGGGTGAGGGGCTCAAGCTGTGATGCTGCTGGTTTTATCTCTAGTGAAATAAAGCCAAACATTATTTAATTCCCGTCACCTGCCTCAGTGTTGTCTATGTGGTTGGTGCAGGGCTCTCCCCTGCCAGGGCCCACCAGCCAGCAGAGCCAGCTGGGAGGGCACTTGGGTACAGGCCAGGTGCCAGTGCTGCCTGCGTGGGACACCTTGCCCACACCTGACAGTTAAGTGGAAGGCCCCTGTTCATCAGAACCTGCCATGGCTCAGTGAGGCCTGCTCAGGACGCCAGGGCACAGTCCCAAGGGAGAGGGCCCAGACCTGCCCGCAGGTGTGGACACAGGGTGTCGGCCCAGCATGTCCCACATGGGCCCCTTTGCCTGGGGCCTCTGGCGACAGGTCCAGGCCTCTCCCCGCCCTCGCCTCGGCCCCTGCCCTGGCCTCGCCCACACCAGGAACTGGGAGCGCGGCTTTCTGTGCCAGTCCTGCCGTGCCCCAGGCACTGGGGGCTGGCCGTTCCCTCACCCCCTCACTCCAAACCGGTCTGTCCAGCCGTCCACCCCAAGGAGGGGAAGCCTCCCGCCCCACCTCAGGCACCCCAAGAAAGCCAGAGTCCAAAGGTGTGTAAATAAAAGGGGGAATTTACTTGGAGATGGGGCAGACACAAGGAGGTCACGTGCTGCGGTACCAGGGAGCAGTAGGCTTTCCGGGGCTCAGGCCTCCCCGGCCGCCTCGGGGTGCTTCTGCCGCAAGTGTTTGTCCAGAGTGGCTCTCAGGCCAAAGGGCACACGGCAGTGGGGACACTCGAAGCGGGTGCTGCCAGGCGTCATGCCGTGCATGCGGCGGTGGCGGTTGAGCTTGCTGCTCTGGGCACAGGCGTAGTTGCAGAGCTCACAGGTGTAGGGGCGCTCCCCGGTGTGCGAGCGCCGGTGCACCGTCAGGTTGCTGCTGTTGGTAAAATGCTTCCCGCAGAACTCGCAGCTGCCCCCGGGCCCGCGGCTCTTACCCGCTGACTTGGGCATCTTTTTGGGTGATGCCTTCTGGCTGTTGGCAGGGTTGATTCTCTGTTCTGTGGTGATGGTTCCCCAGGTGTCTCCACCGGGGCCGGCTTGAGCCCCACTGCCAGGAGCCCCGGGTTCCTGGACACCTGCTGTGGCGGCGGCCCCAGCCCCCTCACCACCGTTGCATGGGAGGGTGCTGGCGGGAGCAGCGGCATGGGCAGCTGGCTCCGGAGGGGCCGCAGAGGCCTGCTCCTGGCTGGTGTCGGCCATGAGGGGGCTCTGGGGTGTCACCTGGCGGTGGGTCTTCTTGTGGCGGTTGAGCTTGCTGCTCTGGGCGCAGGCATAGGGACACTGGTCGCACGCATAGGGCCGCTCGCCTGTGTGTGAGCGCATGTGCACCTTGAGGTTGCTGAAGGAGCTAAGGGTCTTCTGGCACACAGGGCAGGTGGGGCTCCTCCGGGTGAGCCCACTCCCACTTGCTTGGGGGCTCTTGGCCTCAGCTGCTGGCCCCACCACTGCCGACGCGGCTGCGGCCACCTCGGCTAGGCCCAGCAGTGGGGCCTCCGGGGCCTCTGATTCCGTTTGGTAGATGGACAGTCCATGGTCCCACTGGGCATGGCGCAGCAGCTTCCAGGCCATGGTGAACTGTCTGCCGCAGCGCAGGCAGCTCAAGGTCTTCAGCTCCTCTCGTTCTGGCAAGAAAAAGAGGCAGAGTATTAGTGCTGAGGGGTAGGAGTCAGAGGGGCTGCAGCTCACAGCTGCCAGCTGGATACCTTCTGTGGGACAGGCACTCCTGCAGGGGCCAAGGACTTGGCAGTAACAAGACACACACACCCTGGAAGGACCAGGAAGCTGATGCTTAGAGGACGGGCAGAAACGAACCATCTGTGGAGTGGGTGCTGAGTACCTGAGGATTCGCGCTTGAAAACCATTCCTTTTTTTGAGACAGTCTCGCTCTGTTGCCCAGCCTGGAGTGCAGTGGCATGATCTTGGCTGACTGCAACCTCCACCTCCCCAGTTCAAGATTCTCCTGCCTCAGCCTTCTGAGTAGCTGGGATTACAGGAGCCCGCCACCACACTTGGCTAATTTTTGCATTTTTAGCACAGATAGCATTTCACCATGTTGTCCAGGCTGGTCTGGAACGCCTGACCTCAGGTGATCCACTGCCTCAGCCTCCCCAAATGCTGGGATTATAGGCATGAGCCACTGCACCCAGCCTAAAACCATTCTTTCTAGACAGTCTCTCTGTCACCTGGTCTGGAGTGCAGCTTACCACAACCCTCACTTCCCAGATTCAAGCTATTCTTATGCTTCAGCCTCCCAAGTAGGTGGGATTACCGGTGCCCCTGACACACACCTGGCTAATTTTTGCATTTTTAGCAGAGATGGGGTTTCACTATGTTGGTCAGGTGGGTCTTGAACACCTGGCCTCAAGTGATCTACCCGCCTCAACCTCCCATCCCAAAGTGGTGGGATTGAAGGTGTGAGCCGCTGCACTGGGCCATGTGTTGGAAAATCTTTTACAAAGTTATGTTAATGCAGTGAGCAATTCGTACATGCTAGGTGCTGAGCAATGGCTCATAGGCCAGCTTTCCCTCAGGAAAGGAAAATAAGATCTCCATTTTCCAGGCAGGAAAACTGAGGCACAGAGGCATTTCCCCAAGGTCACAGAGCTTGGAAGGGGTAAAGGTGTGATTTCAATCCAGACTCCTGGCAGAGGGGGGAGAGGGCAGAACAGAGGCTTGCTTTTTTTTTTTTTTTTTTGAGACAGAGTTTCGCTCTTGTTACCCAGGCTGGAGTGCAATGGCGCGATCTCAGCTCACCACAACCTCCGCTTCCTGGGTTCAGGCAATTCTCCTGCCTCAGCCTCCCGAGTAGCTGGGATTACAGGCACGCGCCACCACCATGCCCAGCTAATTTTTTGTATTTTTAGTAGAGACGGGGTTTCATCATGTTGACCAGGATGGTTTCGATCTCTTGACCTTGTGATCCACCCGCCTCGGCCTCCCAAAGTGCTGGGATTACAGGCGTGAGCCACCGTGCCTGGCCCAGAGGCTTGCTTTTTTAAAGAGACAGGGTCCTGCTATGTTGCCCAGGCTATGCTTGAACTTTTGGCCTCAAGTAATCCTTTGCCTCAGCCCTTCAAAATGCTAGGATTACAGGCATGAGCCACCATGTCCAGCTGGGAACAGAGGCTTTCAAATTAAGATTTTTGGTTTAGGCCTGGGCGTGGTAGCTCACACCTATAATCCCAGCACTTCAGGAGGCAGGCGGATCACCTAAGGTCAGACATTTGAGACCAGCCTGGTCAACATGGTGAAACCCTGTCTTTACCAAAAATGCAAAAATTATCCAGCCATGGTGGCATGTGCCTGTAATCCCAGCTACTTAGAAGGCCGAAGCAGAATTGCTTGAACCTGGGAGGCAGAGGCTGCATGGAGCTGAGATTTCACCACAGCACTCCAGCCTGGGTGACAGAGTGCAACTCTGTTCCAAAAAACATTAATGATAATGGAGACAGCTACTGAGAAGGTTCGGTGGTCACTAAGTAAAGAGGCAGGAGTGACCTGGGTCCCCCACCCTCTGCATGGATCTCAAATTGAGAGCCCCAAACCTGAATTTGGATTTTTCTCTGGACCTTCGGGGTACTGTTAGTGGACACTTCCCAGGTGAACTAGCCTTTCCGTTCTTCAAATTCTAGAGTCTTGGATGGGGCAATGTTCGTGATTCAACCAGTCCTCCGCCAAGAGCACAGGCCTGGCCTGCGTTCAAATTCAGACTTCTCTGCTCCCTAGTTGTGTGACCTTGGGCAAGACAGCCCTCTGTGAGCCCCAGATGCTACAATTCAGGGACCCTAGAGGTCACCTCCCTTTCAAGGGTGGTTGTGTCCCCGCTTGGGGAATGGATGAGAGCGTCGGTCCACATAAGCTCTCAAACAGCAGCGCCTGTGAAACCAAGGTGCCCATTCTCCAAGCCCTGCAGTGTTTTGTTCCAGCGATTCCATCACAGCCCCTGTCTCCCCCATCAGGCCACTCTCCCTGCTCCAACTCTAAAGCTGATTCAATCAGTACAAGCCCCTCTTTCTCTTTCTCACCACCAAGACCCTCCCTGGCCCAACCCTGAATAATTCCGCTTCTCAAATGTCCCAGGAGGAAAAGGGCCAGGGGGCTGGAAATTAGGTTTGAATTAAGCCCTGCAGCCCACACTGACCAAAAGCTCAAGCACCACGTGAAGGATTTTAATTCCCTTCCAAGGAGGAACCCAGGTGTCCAGCACCCGGGAGCTCACTCAAACCAGGGGATTCCCAGGCCGCAGGGATGGGAGATTCCATCACTGAGGGAAGCCAGAAGCCCCTTCCCTGGCTACCAACCGCTAGCTGTACCAGCATCTCAATCAGAAGTGACAGACAGGAGGGGGGTGGCAACCTCCCCATTCCAGCTGGCCTCCACTCCCCCTCCCCCCTGGCCGCTGCCCTCCCCAGAGGTCCCCCCTACTGCCACCCTGGTCCAGCCACCTGGCCAGTTATTTCTGGCCAAGGGGAAGGAGAAGTGAAACCAGGTTGGGGGTGTGTGTGGGGGGCAAATCCCCAGGCTCGTTTTCTGGGGCTGGCCACACCCTGTAGGCGGCAGTCCTTCCCTGCCCAGCCTCCCCCACCCTTCCTCCCACCACCACTAGTCCCTGCCCTAGGACGGGCAGGCCCTGGCCACGCCTAAGCTGCACCCGATGGGACGCGAGAAAGGGGAAGTAGTGCTCAGTGCCCTGCCGTCCAGCCCAGCCCTCTCCAGCAGGAAGCCCAGCCCTTGAACTTGAGAGGGGGACTGCACCCGGCTTTACTCACCTGAGCCGTGGCTGGGGCTGGGGCTTCTGAAGAGCTGACAGCCCAGCTTCTTGTGGTCCATGAAGGCAGTGATGGCCTCCAACGGGAAGGTCTGCAGGCAGCGGCCGCAGGTCAACAGATCTGGGTGTTTGTCGGTCCAGGGCTGGCGGTCTGCAGGGAGGAAGCGAGTGGTGAGCCCGGGGTGGGGCCAGGATGGGGGGCTGAGGGTGCCGAGGAAGAGGGGAAACCGAAGGTCAGAAGGGAGCCTGGGGGACAGGACGGGGCGAAGGCGAGAAGGCAGGGCGAGGGGGCCCATGCCCAAAGGCAGGGGTCCCACCCGAGGGTCAAAGGTAAGGGAGGCTGGGCTCAGAGCCCGGGGCGGGGTGCCGGGCCCTCACCTGGAAGGTTCGGGGTCAGCGATGTCCACAGGGTCCACGGGTTCCGCGCGCCGAGGGCGAGGAGGGCGGCCCCGGCGGGCTTGGGGTCAGGGGAGTGGTGCGGTTCGCCTCCGAACAGCCCCGCCGGGGACACCTCCTTCGGGGAGAAGGGCCCCAGCCTTGGTGCCTGTTGGGGCGGCCCGTCCGACTCGGGCTTCAGTTCGATGACGAGGTCCTGCATTTCCATCTCGTCGTCTGGGTTGGCGGTGGGCGCGGGGTCTACTCGGCGGGGCGCGCTGCCGGCCTTGCGGCGGGACATGAGTCGCGGGCCTGGCGAGCTGGCGGGCGAGCGGTCGGGCAGGCGAGCAGGCGGAGGACGCACGAGCGGAGGACGCGCGGACCGTGCGCGCTCAGGTGAGTGACTGCAGCGACCCGCCGCGAACTCTTACACGTGCTGGCCGGGCCCGTGGCTCCGCCCACCGGGGCGGGACTGATGGGAGGGGACCGAGCCGCCCTGCCCGCGGCCTAACTCAATCTAGGCAGTGCCCCTTGCCTTTGGCTTAGTGACCAAATTTAATCACACCGAGTTCCCACAAGGCATTGAAACAGCTATCCCTGATCCCATTTTAGAGCGAGTGAAACTGAGGCAGGATGCCCACACACACCCTCAAGGGAGAAGATAGTCGGTCACGTTTCTTATTAGATGCCCAGTAGTAATCTGGGCTATTTCATTAAACGCATTACAGTAAAAATTCATTTTGCAAGCATTCACTGAGTGCCTCCTGTGCCTCAGGCTGTTTGAAGCACTGATACAGCAGGAAACAGACGATAATCTTTGCCTGCATGGAGTTTAGACGGTGGGGGAAGACACTATAAATATAATTATGTAAAATATAGATGGCCCTTCTTGATGACCAGTGCCCTGGAGCAAAAGAAAGCTGGAAAGGCGGACACGGTTGCTGGGATTGAGGGATTCCATCTTCTCCCCTTTGCTGGGAAAGGGCATGGGGAAGCTGAGGCCGGAGGGAAGTAAGGAAGCCAGTCAGTGGACCTGGGCATTGAGGAATTAAAAGGAAAGGGAGGGAGGAGCAATATGGGCTGGGGGTTGAGTTCAGTAAAAAAATGGGAGCAGATCCAAGTGATCTTTTGATCACTTCAAGTCTTTTGGTTTTCCTGAGACCGGAGCCTTGGGAGGGTTTTGAGCAGAGAACTGTAATCATACACACCAAATCTGTTCCTAGACCAGAAGTCACCCTTAAAACCAAATGGCCAAGCAGCTCACCTGCCTCCACTCTGCCTCCTTGAGCTCCCCTCCCCTAAGCAATTCTCTCTGCTCACTGTTTGAAGTGGCATTGACACCCTGCCCCACCCTCAATCCCTGATGAGTATTCTTTTCTTCCGGGCACCGACTGCTTGAACTGCTCCAGGACTGTCCTCTCCCCTACCCAGCACCAGCGCCCTGAGGTCAGGGCCAGAATCTGTCCTCCCCCAGCTGTGCCCAGCCCAGATGCTGATTTCAGATGCTGATCTCTTGGAGTTCTGCATATTGTTATTCAAGTCTGGGCTCCATTGTCCTCCTGAGAGCAGAGGGCCCTGACCAACAGTATCTAAAGTAGCCCCACCCTGCTGAAGGCCTTGCAAATTACACTCCATGACCTCCATCTGTCCCCAGTTCCCTCTTGGATCTCACTTTCTCCATCTGTCAAAGGAGGTAGGGTGGGTTGCAACTAGAGCCTTATCTGAGGTCGTTTCTTCTTCAGTGCCACCTCCTCTGATCACCCTTTTTTAAAAAAATAATTTTTAATTTTTTTTTTTTTTCTGAAATGAAGTCTTGCTCTTGTTGCCCAGGCTGTGTGCAATGGCACGATCTCAGCTCCCTGCAACCTCTGCCTTCCGGGTTCAAATAATTCTTCTGCCTCAGCCTCCAGCAGCTGGGATGACAGGCACTCAGCTAATTTTTGTATTTTTAGTAGAAATGGTTTCACCATGTTGGCCAGGCTGGACTCAAACTCCTGACCTCAGGTGATCTACTTGCCCCAACCTTCCAAAGTGCTGGGATTGCAGGCGTGAGCCACCAGTTTGATCACTTTGATCAAACTCTGAAGGATCTTGTTTACTTATTTGCTCGTTTTACCCTATTCTGTCCCTTCTACCCTACTAGAATATAGGTGCTAGGAGGCAGGATGGGAGTCTGTCTTGTTCATAAATACAGCCCCTGCTCGTTCATAGTTAAGTCAACAAATATGTATTGAGCACCTACTATGTGCCTGACGGTATTCTTTCAACAGCCGTTTGCAGACCACCAAATTGTGTACCTGGCACTTGGAGATCTAGTGGAAAGCAGAGGCCCACAGGATCTCTGCATAAGTAGGACCCCGCATGGAGAAAGTGAATTCTGACTGGAGTAGGGAGGTTCATATTTCCAGCTCAAGGCCACAGTTTTCCCCTTTGTAAAATGGGACTGCAGGGAGAGCTGGAGGACAAAATGACCGCCACTGATCCAGCCCAGCTACCTTCTTGGTATGCGGCATCTGAGACCATGATCTCCAGGTTTCCTGTAGAGGAGCGGGGGTTCCCAGTGGAGGCGAGGGGTAGGAGTGCTTATGTGTAGGGGGACGAGGATGCAAAGATCGAGCTCTGCCCTTAACCCGGCCGGGAGGAAGTCTTCCCCTCTCTGAGCCTCAGTTTCTTCCTGCTGAAAATGGGCATCCCGGATGCCCCCAACTTGCAGGCAGGAAGAGCGGACCAAAGTGCCCCGCAAAGCTGCGCGCCGGGTGGCGACCCGAGTTGTGCTGGCTTCCAAGCCTGCGAGCCAGCCCATGACCACGTGGGGCGGTAGCGGCGGCGCGGGCGGAACCCAGGCTCCGCGGCTCGCTGCCTGCCCGGGCTTCTGCAGCTGGGGCGCCGGCGGAAGTGGGGGCGCCAGTAGCGGTGTACCTCGGTGAGTGCAGAGTGGTGAGGGGGTCGCCAGCAGGTTCCCTTTCCCCGGCCTCAGGTCTGGACGCCCACCCCGGTGCAAACGGCCGGAGTGACGCGAAGACGCAGGGCCGCGCCTGCAGCTGCGGCAGGAGGGACGTTCTTGTCCCCAGACGCCCGCATCAGGGACTCTTTGGTCCCGGTCACCGGCAGCGGAATGTCCCACGCGGGTGGGGTGAGGAGAAGGGAGAAGTCGGAAAACTCCCCCTCGGGAAAATAATACATGGCTATGATAACAGCAGCGTCGGTGGCAGTCATCCCGCTTTACCTGGAGCGGAATCGCTCGCCGCGTCTGAGTCTGGAGGTGGGAAGAACGTCCAGTTCGAACGCCCAGGGCGGAGTGGGGAGTGGACGCCTGGGGGTCGGGAGGACCTACTTAGTATAAGAAAAGGTTAGCAACGGGTGGTCAGGGCGGAATTCAAAGGAAACTGACCGGCCCCAGGGGAGAAGGGGAGGGGAGAGATTCTGTGCTTGGGATTCTGACCGCTGGGGTGGCCCTATTTAGCTAATTTGCATCAAGATGCAGCAGACGACGGTATGTGTGTGTGTGTCTGTGTCTGTGGACACATCAGCACCTTGGTTAATTAGTTCTGGAGGCTTCTCTGTTAACCTGATAACTCGGCTGGTTCCCCACTCTGGCAATTGTGAAGAATTGGCACAATGTTTGTCCACTGAGCTGATCTCATCTCTGGAGCACCGAGGCCACTGGGAGGGAGGTCTGGGAAACCCCTGCCCCTGCCATTGATCCTTTAAATGTTGGGGTCTTGAATCTGACAGACTAGTTTCTCAAGCCGTGGGGGATGGGCTTGGGAATTTTTTCCTGAAACCTTCAGAAATCCTTGCCTTGGAGACTGAAAAGATAAAGGCTTCTGGGGCCAGGTCACCAGGGAGAATGGATAATGCCTGCCTTTGCCCTCCTGGGCACGCCCTGTGTGACCTTTCTTAAACCAGTTTCTTATCAGGTCACACCTTGGCGCCACAACTTCCAAGGGCTCCCTGGGCTGGTGGAAAAAAAGTCTGTCTTTCTGCGTGGGACAGGGGTGACGGCCCGAGTTTTCTCCTTTTCCCCACCCTCCAGCTTGCACCAAGGAAATTACTTATTTTTATTTTTATTTGAGACAGAGTCTCTGTCATCCAGGCTGGAGCGCAGTGGCGTGATCTCACTGCAACCTCCATCTCCCAGGTTCAATCGATTCTCCTGCTTCAGTTTACTGCGTAGCTGAGATTACAGGCGTGGGCCACCACGCCCAGCTAATTTTTATTGTATCTTTAGTAGAGATGGGGTTTCCCCATGTTGGCCAGGCTGGTCTCGAACTCCTGACCTCAAGTGATCCTCCAGCCTCATCCTCCCAAAGTGCTGGGATGACAGGCCTGAACCACCATGCCCAGCCCATTCATTAATTCTCATTGGTCTCTGTGACAGGCAGTGTTCTGGGAGCTGGACATCTAGCGGCGGAAAAGCACCGTGGCCACCTTGAAGCTCACGGAGAGGAGATACAGGGAACCGAAAGTGCAAGGGGCCAGGAAGGCATCGCGCCTGAGGTGGGTAGAGCAAGCGAAGTACAGCACGAGGGTGCTGGCAGGATCCAGAACTCAGAAGGTCAGGAGGGCTGTGGTGAGGACTCTGGCTTTTTCTCTGAGCAACACAGAAGCCACAAGAGGGCTCCGAGCAGAGGTGGGATGTGATCTGACTCAGGTGTTAACAGGGTGTGGGGTGCTGACTGTTGCGGGTGAAGGTGGAAACTGGGGGACCCAGTGAGGAGTTGACTACAGTACTCCAGGCAGGAAGTGTCCATGGCTGCAGCAGGGTACTGGCAGTGGATGAGGTGAGAAGTGTTAGGCTGTGGATGGAAAAAAAAAAAAAAAAAAAAAAAATATATATATATATATATATATATATATATATATATATATATATAGTTTTGTTTTGCTTTGTTTTGTTTCTTTGAGACAATCTCACTCTGTCGCCAGGCTGGAGTGCAGTGGCGCTATCTTGGCACACTGCAACCTCCACCTCCTAGGTTCAAGCTGTTGTCCTGTTTCAGCCTCCTTGAGGTGAGGGCCACCACACCCGGCTAATTTTTGTATTTTTCTTTTTTTTATTTCTTTTTTTCGAGACAGGGTTTCACCTTGTTGGTCAGGCTGGTCTCAAACTCCTGACCTCAGGTGATCTACCCACCTTGGCCTCCCAGAGTGCTGGGATTACAGGCGTGAGCCACCGCACCTGGCCAAATTTTGTATTTTTAGTAGAGACAGGGTTTCACCATGTTGGCTAGGCTGGTCTCAAACTCCTGATCTCAAGTGATCTGCTCACTTCTGCCTCCAAAAGTGCTGGGACTACAGGTGTGAGCCACTGGTCCTGGCCTTATACAGTTTTTTTTTCTCAGCCTTTCTTTTTTATGACTTTCATATTTTTGAAGAGTCCGGGTTAGTTGTGCTGTTTTTGTTTTTCCTTTTTTTTTTTCTTTTTGAGATGGAGTCTTGCCCTATTGCCCAGGCTGGAGTGCAGTGGCAAGATCTTGGCTCACTGTAACCTCCGTCTCTGGGGTTCAAGCAAGTCTTCTGCCTTAGCCTCCTGAGTAGGTGTGACTACAGGCGCATGCCAACATGCCTGGCTAATTTTTGTATTTTTAGTAGAGATGGGGTTTCACCATGTTGGCCAGGATGGTCTCGATCTCTTGACCTCGTGATTTGCCCACCTCAGTCTCCCAAAGTGCTGGGATTACAGACATGAGCCACCGTGTCTGGCCTCGTTTTGTTTTTCCTAAGACAGGGTGTCACTCTTGCCCAGGCTGGAGTACAGTGGCATGATCATAGCTCACTGCAGCTTACAAGAGTATGTTATCATGCCCGGCTAACGTTTTTTTTTTTTGAGAAGGAGTTTCACTCTTGTTCCCCAGGCTGGAGTGCAATGGCAAGATCTCGGCTCACTGCAACCTCTGCCTCCCAGGTTCAAGTGATACTCCTGTTTCAGCCTCCCGAATAGCTGGGATTACAGGTGCCACCCACCACACCCAGCTAATTTTTGTATTTTTAGTAAAAACGGTGTTTCACCATGTTGGCCAGGCTGGTCTCAAAGTCTTGATCTCAGGTGATCTGCCCACCTTGGCTTCCCACAGTGCTGGGATTACAGGTGTGAGCCACTGTGCCCAGCCCTAATGTTTTTTATGTTTAGTAGAGATGAAGTCTTACTGTGTTGCCCAGGCTGGTCTTGAGCACCTGAATGCAAGTAATCCTCTTGCCTTGGCCTCCCAAAGTGCTGGGATTATAGGCGTGAGCCACCACGCCCATCTCTGTTGTCCTTGTTTGGTAGAATGTCCTTCAGTTTGAGTTTATTCATAATTATATCCAGGTAATCTATTTTTTGCAGAAACACCACAAAAGGCTGGGCGTGGTGGTTCATGCCTGTAATCCCAGCACTTTGTGAGCCGGAGGCTGGAAGATCACTGGAGGCCAGGAGTTGAGAGCCTCAGCAACTGAGACCCTATCTCTTTAAAATTAAAAGAGAAAAAAGAAATAGTACAGAAGTGGTGCCCCATCCTTCTTAGTGTCCCATTCCTGGAGCTGTTGGCTCTAATCACTAAGTTAAGGGGTATATATCAGGTTTCTACCCTATACATTTCTGTTTGCGCTTTACAGTGAATGAATAGCTTGTGCGTCTGTTGAGACTATGTAGCTACCTTAGACTTCATCAAACTCTCATCCACAATTTTTTTTTTGGACAGAGTCTCCCTCTGTCACCCAGTCTGGAGTGCCATCTTCGCTCACTGCAACCTCTGCCTTTTGGGTTCAAATGATTCTCCTGCCTTAGCCTCCCGAGTAGCTGGAACTACAGGTGCACGCCACCATGCCTGGCTAACTTTTGTATTTTTGGTGGAGACAGGGATTCACCATGTTGGCCGGGCTGGTCTCAAACTCCTGACCTTAAGTGATTTGCCAACCTTGGCCTCTCAAAGTGCTGACATTACAGGTGTGAGCCACCACACTGGCCCTATCCACACATTTTTGCGTCTGTTCCTTTTATATTTTACTTGCTGGTCTACAATAAGGAATATGTTTTCCTTCTCTTCCTTGTTTATTCATTTATTATCAGTATGGATTCTGGATTTCTGTTTTATCTAGTGGGTGATAATATGTAACTATCATTATTGTATTGTTCAAATAATTCCGTATTTGGCCACTGGGAGCCCTTTCAAGCTAGCTCCTGTGTAAATGGGAATCTATCTAAAAGATAGAATTTCCTGATGGATTGGATGGGTTGTATGTGAGACAGAGGAAACTGGGGTTTGTTCTTTTTTTAGAGACAGGGTCTCACTCTCACCCAGGCTGGAGTGCAGCGGCATGATTATGGCTCACTGCAGCCTCCATCTCCTGGGCTCAACTAATCCTTCTCCGTCAGCTTCCTAAGCAGCCCAGCTAATTTAAAAGAAAATTTTTTTGGCTGGGCACAGTGGCTCACGCCTATAATCCCAACACTTTGGGAGGCTGAGGCAGGTGAATCATGAGGTCAGGAGATTGAGACCATCCTGGCCAACACTGTGAAACCCCATCTCTACTAAAAATACAAAAAAAAGGCAGACTCGTTTGCCTGAGGAAGGAGAATCGCTTGAACCAGGCGACTTTTTTTTTTTTTTTGGTAGAAATGGGGGTCTTGGCCGGGCGTGGTGGCTCAAGCCTGTGATCCCAGCACTTTGGGAGGCCGAAAGTGGTCTACTAAAAATACAAAAAATTAGCTGGGCACGGTGGCGTGTGCCTGTAATCCCTGTAATCCGAGCTACTTAGGAGGCTGAGGCAGGAGAATTGCCTGAACCCAGGAGGCGGAGGTTGCGATGAGCCGAGATCGTGCCATTGCACTCCAGCCTGGGTAATGAGCGAAACTCCGTCTCAAAAAAAAAAAAAAAAAGAAACGGGGGTCTTGTTATATTGCCCAGGCTGGTCTCAAACTCCTGGCTTCAAGTAATTCTCCTGCCTTGGCCTCTCAAAGTGTTGGGATTATAGGCATGAGCCACCATGCCTGGCCGGGTTCATCTTTTGGCAAATATTTATTGCCTAGAAGTTGAGATAAAGCTATTATAAAAGCAGACAAAAGCCCTTGACTTCATGGGACTCATGTTTTTGTGCATGTGACATTTTATTTCTGATCCAAGCCACTGGGGGGCATTGGCACAGATTTTAGGAAGGGGATTGGTTTGGGACAGGTGAAGTGGAGCTGCCTGTTAGACCAGCCTCTGCTTCTACTCCTCTTTCCTCCTTTAGCTCCATGCTTACCATTTAATCGTTTCTTGTCTCTTTTCTTAACCGCCAAGACAATGCAGACTCCAGTGACCATTCCTGTGCCTGTGCTCCGGCTGCCCCGGGGCCCTGATGGCTTCAGCCGTGGCTTTGCCCCTGATGGACGGAGAGCTCCTCTGAAGCCAGAGGTTCCTCAAATCCAGGAGTGCCCCATAGCTCAAGAATCCCTGGAATCCCAGGAGCAGAGGGCCCGAGCCGCCCTTCGGGAGCGATACCTCCGAAGCCTGCTGGCCATGGTGGGTCGTCAGGTGAGCTTCACATTGCACGAGGGTGTGCGTGTGGCTGCCCACTTTGGAGCCACCGATCTGGACGTGGCCAACTTCTACGTGTCACAGCTGCAGACGCCCATAGGTGTGCAAGCAGAGGCGCTGCTCCGATGTAGTGACATTATTTCGTATACCTTTAAGCCATAAAGACATTGTTCACCTTTCTGCTTGAGGCTAAGCCACTGTATCCCAGGCCTTCCAATGTTCCTGAGCCAGGAACTCTGGGCCCCATGGAGTTATGAGCTCCCGTGGAATTCTGAGCCAAGGTTTAAGCAAGTCTGGACTCCTGATACCACCTGGGTCTAATCAGCAAAATTCTGCAACTCTAGGAATTCTAAGATCCCATTGGAAGGAATGCTGTACCTCACAGAACTCTGAACTCTACAGAAATATGGGCTTGATGCTATTTCCTGAAGACCTGGGCATCGGGGTGGGGTGATAAGGAGGACAAACTGCACAGGGGAAGTTGTTTTATTAAAGAGATTGCAAAGTTCAGGCACCCTGAAGGTACTCTCCCGGTGCTCCCCTCCTGCTAAAGAACCAGTTACCCATGGGCCGGGTGCCGTGGCTCAAGCCTGTAATCCCAGCACTTTGGGAGGCCGAGGTGGGTGGATCACGGGGTCAAGAGATCGAGACCATCCTGGTCAACATGGTGAAACCCCGTCTCTACTAAAAATACAAAAAAATTAGCTGGGCATGGTGGCGCGTGCCTGTAATCCCAGCTACTCGGGAGGCTGAGGCAGGAGAATTGCCTGAACCCCGGAGGCAGAGGTTGCGGTGAGCCGAGATCGTGCCATTGCACTCCAGCCTGGGTAACAAGAACAAAACTCCGTCTCAAAAAAAAAAAAAAAAAAAAAGAACCAGTTACCCCAGGAAAATTCGACCCCTGTTTTTATTTTCTAAATTAAGTATACCCACCGGGATGGAGTCATCTTTAAGGGATGGTAGGGTGATTATCCCAGGGCTGAATCCGGTGGAGCTGGGCCAAGTAGGACAGGAGCCCAGATAAAGGTGTAGGGGCTGCACAGCCACAAGTCTCCTGGAAAGGCTGGAGTTACCGGAATGCAGGGATTGGGAGATTCCGATTTGATTTCATTTTGAGTGAGGGGTGCTGTGTCACATGGTCGTGCCCAAGCGCTCCTCCGGTTGCCCCACCTGTGGTTGCTATGGAATGTTAGATTCACGGGTCCCCTCGTTGGAGGCAAATGGTCGGACCCCGAGCGGTGGCGCTCCTGATTAAAGGCCGAGGATTCGCGGTCAGGGTGAAACTTCTTCCCCTCCCTGTTTTTCTCCAGCCTTGTAGCGTGGCCGTTCACATCAGCGCTTTGCTAACAGCCCCTGTCACTGGTAACCTTTCAGTGCATTGTTTAAAAAGAAAGCCGTTTCTGCCCCCTTCTGCAGATACTTCAAGTTCAGGATGTAAGCGAAGCCTACCATTAAGTAAAGGTTAGGGTCGTTTCGTCTCAGTCGCGAAATTGCGGCGGCCGATGATGAACCGCGCCAGGAGCAGCCTCAGCAGCCATCCGTGGGTTCGGGACGCCGGCTCCGCAGAGGCCCGGACCTAGCTCTTAAGTTGCCTTGGCAACGACGCGGCTCGCTCCGCCCCAGTTTCCTTTTATGGTTTCAGCCCCGCCTCTCCCGGGTTGCCGGGTGCGCTAGGGAAAGCGTGGCGAAAGTGCGGCGGCGAATGTCAACCGTTGGGCCTGAGCCGGAGGGTGTGGCTTGAGCTCGCCCTAGTTCGTTCTTGCCTCGGTGACCCACCGGCCTTGTCACTCAGGATTTGGGTTGGCCTTTGGAGTATCTACCTTCTCCTAGGTTTAGTTTTTAAAAATCGCCCATGATACTGCTCATGGGCTCCTATTTATTTTAGCATTGTAATTTAAGTTGTATTTTATGCAACTCTACCTAGGTACAGAGAGCTGTTGATGTTAACTGCGGTGACTAGCCAAGGGGCCGAGGCTTTGTCTCCAGAGGATCCCTATCTGTCAGCATCCATCAACTGTACTTGTATATTGAATGCAGTTCCTATCTGCCTTTTGTTTCGACTTCTTCATGCCGTTACCCACTCTTCATCAGTCTAACCTCCATGTTTATATTTATTTCCTTTTGTTGAGCGAGCCTTTTCCCGGGTCTTGCTCAGTCTCCCAGGCTGGAGTGCAGGGGCGGGATCCTAGCTCCGTGCAGCCTCAACCTCCTGGGCTCAAGCGATTCTCCCACCTCCTAAGCAGCTGGAACTACAGGCGCCCGACACCAGACCCTGCAAATTTTAAAATATTTTTGTAGACGGGGCCTCGCTATGTTGCCCAGGCTGGTCTCGAACTCTAGGACTCAAGCGATCTTCCTGCCTCAGCCTCCCAAAGTGCTGGGATTATAGGCATGAGCCGCCGCCGCGAACCATCAGATATTTTCATTTCTATCCACTCCATTCCCTGGGCTCTTGACGAATGTGCGGAGCTGATATTCGTTATCTGGACTCAGGCGGGGAGGCGTGGGCTTAGCTTCGCGCTTGCGCGCTGCTCTTGGAGACGGCGTCTACTTCGCCCCGCCCCCATGGTCTGCAGTTCCGGCTCTGCAGATTCGCTGCTCACGTTTTTTTTTTTTTCCGTGGCCCTTTCTGCCTTTTGTTTCCCTCTTCATGTCACCTGCGGGACAACTCGACCTGCAAGTCACTTAAATCGGTTTTCTGCGTCTTTTAGTAAGCGACGGGCTCGCCAGCCTCGAGCGAAAGTGTGACTGCGAACGGGCAGGCGCGCGCGGGGCTCGGCGGAGGCGCGCTTGGGCTCCCGGCGGCGACGACTACGACGACGAGGAGAGCGGACGGAGGCGGCGCCTGAAGCAGTGGCGGAGCCCATGCCCCGGGACGGCGGGCGGGCCGGGAGAGACAAGTCCGGGGCCCGGGGCATGTCCCCGGGGCCCCCGTGAGGAGGAGCCGGCGGCGGCTATGGAGATCCCGCCGCAGGAGGCTCCGCCCGGGCCGGGCGCAGACGACGACGTTGAAGAGGCCCCCGTTGAGGCCGGGTCTCCCAGCCCTGCCTCGCCCCCCGCGGATGGGCGCCTCAAGGCTGCAGCCAAGCGCGTCACGTTCCCGTCCGACGAGGATATCGTGTCTGGTGCAGTGGAGCCCAAAGACCCCTGGAGACATGGTAGCTACTGCGGGAGAAGCGGGGGCGGGCTCGAGGGGGACCCGGGGGTCGGGAGGGATCGGTGCAGAGCCCCGTTCAGAGGTGGCGTTCAATAGATTGCACCTAATGGCTAATTAAGGGGACAGTCGTCAGTTTAGAGTCGGAGGCTGTTAGAAGGTGGCCGTGGAGTTGGGAAGGTGAAAAGTATCTGGTTTCTGCCGCACCCCACCCACCCGAGACAAAGGAGGTGATCGTTTTAGGGTTTAAAACGATGAGCATTAAATAAAGTTTGGTGGTTTGTCAGATGGGGAGGGTGGCAGCCTTTGCGTTCGTAGTTCTACCAGAAAAGGAGAGCGAGAGCAGTAAAGGGAGGAGGAGCAGGTCAACACTGGCCCTGAAAGGGCAGTTGTAAGAGTTTGCTGGGTCTCTGAGGCTAAAAAGAGGTTAAGTTGCTGGTCTGCAAGCCTCGGGGCAGGGAGTGATCGTGTTGGTCACTTTCTTGGCTGGAAAGAGGAAGAATATAAACCTGGACTGTGACTGTGGAGAACTTGGTAAGCTCCCAGAAGAGGAGCAGGGCTGGTGGTCAATTTGTGGTTAGGTAAGGGAGTCAGAGGCAGTGTTGTTTTTTCTTTTTATTGTGATGATATCTCATTATGTTGCCCAGGCTGGTCTTGAACTTCTGGATTCAAGCGAGCCTCCCGCCTTGGCCTCCCAGAATGTTGGGATTACAGGCGTGAACCACTGCCTCCAGCTGCAGTGTGGTGTTAAGAAAAGCCAACGGCAGAAGGAAGGCTGTCAGTCGTTCAGGAGCAGAGGATGTTTGGGGCATGACTGTGGAAGGGTCTTCTTGTTCCTTCCTGAGAAAGAATGAGCCAATACTGGATGCATTGGCTCATTCCCATAATCCTAGCACTTTGGGAGGCCGAGGCAGGTTGATCACTTGAGGTCAGGAGTTCAAAAGCAGCCTGGCCAACGTGGGGAAACCCTGTCTCTACTCAAAATATAAAAATCGCCTGGGGCATGATGGTGTGCCCTGTAATCCCAGCTACTTGGGAGGCTGAGGCAGGGAGAATGGCTTAAACCTGGGAGGCAGAGGTTGCCGTGAGCTATCACAACATTGCACTCCAGCCTGGGTGACAAGAGCAAAACTCTGCCTCAAAGAAAAAAAAAGAATGAGAGGATGTTATCAAGTCAGGAGCTAGAGTTGCTGGCTATTAGCAGGTGAGAGAACTGAAGAAGTTTGACCACTTGAGGTGTTGGGAGAGGGGGCAAGCCCACTGAAGAGGGTCAGGTCAGTGTTGGAGCTGAAAGGAGTGTATTGGAGCCATAGGGCTGGGAAGGTGGAAGTTGCTTGGGAGATGCAGGGCAGTGTTGAGTTCATTTCGTGCTGGAGAAGTCTGTCAATCCTGCTAGGGTGGAGCCCATGAAGTGAGGGATTGGACTGGCTGTGGTTCTCTAGAAGCTGATCTCCTGGCCCAGGGTAAGGGGAGAAACTTTTGCCGGTCTGTGGACAGTGGAGGAAGTGGTGGCTTTGATGTGAGGGTGGGAAACGTGGTAACTGGAAACTGAACACACAGGGAGTCCATCATGAATGAGTTTGGTTACTTCTTCTTCTTATTGTTTTAGATGGAATCTCCCTCTGTCGCCCAGGCTGGAGTGCAGTGGCATGATCTCGGCTCACTGCAACCTCCGCCTCCTGAGTTCCAGCAATTCTCCTGCCTCAGCCTCCTGAGTATCTAGGATTGCGAGCGCCTGCCACCGCACCTGGCTAAAAGTGTTTGTATTTTTAGTAGAGACAGGGTTTCACCGTGTTGGCTAGGCCAGTCTCAAACTCCTGACCTCAGGTGATCTGGCTGGCCGTGGTTAAATTAAGACTTTTGGGCTGGGTGCCATGGTTCATGCCTGTTACCCCAGCACTTTGGCAGGCCAGCGTGGGCAGATCACCCATGCCCAGGAGTTCAAGACCAGCTTGAGCAACAAGGTGAAATGCCATCTCTAAAAAAAATAGAAAAATTAGCCAGGTGTGGTGCATATGCTTGTAGTCCCAGCTACTTGGGAGGCTGAAGAGGGAGGATGACTTGAGTTCAAGAGGTTGATGGTGCAGTGAGCTATGATTGCGCCACTGAATTCCAGCCTGGGTGACAGAGATCCTGTCCAAAAACAAGAAAAAAAAAAGAGACTTTTGGCACTGGGAGCCAGCCAAGTCCTTGGGCTCTACGGCCCAGGGAGAGGTGGTTAGTTTGGGACCAGGGCACAGTCAGAATGGCCCCTGGCTATAGCATGGTATCCAGTTCAGAGCAGGAAGGGGAAAGACCTGGAGAGTCAGAACAGGGTGGTTCAAGAGCAGAGGCTCCAGGTCAGAGCCTTCGAGACCTCAGACTGGTTACCTAGCTCCTGAGCCTCAGTTTTCCCATCTGTAAAGTAGGTGGTAATACTCTCACCATGGGATTTAGGAGAGGGCTGGATGAAGTTACATATGGAAAGGAATCGGCTAGGGTGAGCGTTCTTGATGGCAGTCGTTGTTGGTCATCTTCGGGGCTGGTGTAGAGGAGCTCATGCGTGGGGTGGGGCCTGGATATGGCTGCCTCAGAGCTTCCAGGAGAGGAGGGCGGTCGCAGTGAGTGGGCCTGGAGTGAGTGGGGGGCGGGCAGGGGGATGATGGTCAGTTTGTGGACTGAAGGGTCGGGGGTAAGGGCAGCTAGAGAGTTTGGCACAGATTGGGCATGGGCGGGGGTAAAGTTTCTGGTCCGCAGGTTCCCAGAAAAGCTTTGGCTTTCGTTCAGTAAGCCACTTTCCTCTCCAAGCCTCTGTTTCTTTCTCTGCAAATGGAGGTGCTAATTTTTACCATGGGGTGGTTGTGAGGATGAAGTAAGATAGTCCTCATAGATTTCTGCCACATAAATAGCAGCCATCATCCAGGCAGATTTGTGTTTTGTTTGTTTTCACGAGCAGTCTTGAAGCGGCAGTGAAGGCATTGGAGGTCACGGAAGGCTGTCTGTCAAGAAAAGAGGGGCAATTGGAGCCTGGCTGGGAGGAGTTAGAGGAGTGCCAGTTGGTCTGTCCTGGGTAAGGGGTAGAGGGGGTGACACTCTCCGGGCTGGAGGAGGCTCTCATGACAGTGGTTAGAGAGGGGCAGTAAGGCCTGGTCGGGACTTACACTCCCAGGGAGTCCGTGGGTCTGAGCTGCAGAGGTGATGACATGGGCTGGACTGGAAGAATTGGTCCCTCTTGGTTGAGGGGAGGGCTTGAGGAGTTGGCTTGGCAGTAGGGAGTTGGATGATCTTGGGCCTGGGCAGGGTGGGGATTGTCGGTGAAGTTGGTGAGTCTGGGCAATGGGATTTGCAGGACAGAAAACCCAAGGGTCTGGGAATACCAAAGAGAAGGGGATAGGCCTCGTGCTTGGGAGGACAGTGGAGGGGTTCACTGGCCATGGGGCTGGGGGAGGTGGAGGGTTCGCCAGGGTGTGGAAGAGGAATCGTGGTACAGAAAGTGGATCTAAGGGGAGGCCCAAGTGAGAGGCCAGAGGGTCTGGAACTGGGGGACTGCAGGGAGGAGTTGCTTGGTCTTGGAACAGAGGTGGGAGATTTGTTGGCATCAGTCTTGGAAGCTGTGGGAGGGATAGGGGTTGTCGTTTGAGCTGTGGACCTAGTGGAAGGGTGGCATGACCCCAAGGCCAAGGGGTGACAGAAGAGCTGATGGGTTTGAATTGGGGAGACTCAGTCATCTGGAAGCTGTTGTGGCGTGCTCAAGATGGAGCACTGCCTAGGCTGGGGGTGGAGGAGCACCCCCGGGCGGGGAGAAGCAGCAGTGGAGGTGCCGAAGCGTAGGGGCCTCCTTCAGCGGAGCTTCGCCCCTGGGGCTGGAGTAATGGCCCAGCTGGGAGCTGTGGGGGGTGTCTATCTGAGGGCAAGTGCTCCCTCAGGCCCTGCAGGGAGGTGAGGTGATCTGGAGGAGGGGGATTGTGAGGGAGGGTCTTGAGCCTGCATAGGCTCCACCTTCCTGGCTCCCCACCTCCAGCAGTGGCGTTCCGCTGACCAGGGCTGCTGTTTGCTTATTGCAAATGGCCATCTGATGTTCTGTTGCATGCTTGTTTTCTTGGCCTTGCTGGAATGGGAGAGCAGAGACTGAATCCATTCTCTTCTCTGCTTTCCTCAAGGACACTCAGTTGTTGAATGAGTGCCTGTGGCCTATGAGGCCTGGTGGTGTCTGGGAACCACCTAGCATAGTGACATCTAGCAGAGTGTCAGGGACCCAAGCAGCCTGGTGTGGGGAAGCCAGCGGGCAGCAGTGTGTTCTGTGGCCTCTGGCAAGCATGGGCTCTTGAGGAGCATTGTGTTTCGTCACCTTTAAAGTAAGGCCAGTGATCCCTGCCCTGCAGACCACCAGGTGTCAGAGGATAGAGTGAACCCGCTGGGGCAGATCCCCACAGCAGCCACAGCCAGCCAGGTGTGCATGGATGGGGGAAGCTCCAGGAGGAGGCAGGCTGGGAATCGTGAGTGAAAGAGGCTGATTCAGCACTGCCAGGCTGGGTGTGTGGGTGCCCATGGGGAGCGGGGGTAGCCGGCTGCACTGTACCCCTTCAGCTTTTCATAACGCCAAGGCCAGACTTAGACAAGGAACCCTTTAGGCCACACTGCAGGAATGACCTGAGGTTTGGCTGGTTTTCCCAGTCCCCCTGAACTCTGTGGGGTTGGAAAGATGGGCTTGTGAGAGGGACTTGTGATCAGGAGCACATGACACCAGCCACAGTCTGGGAGACTCGTCTCCCCTCCCTCCAGTCCTGCCAGTGACTCACTCCCTGCTCCCTGACCATCTGTCCTGAGTGTGTGTGTGTGTGTGTGTGTGTGTGTGTGTGTGTGTGTGTTGGGGGTTTGCCCACCAGGAAGCTCCTTGCATGAACTGAAAGTGTCTGCAGGGCAGGGCGAGGGGCCCAAGCATGCTGCCATCTCTGGCCACCTGAGCTTTGGAGGGCGGAGGGAGCAGTGGGGGCAGAATGTTCTTAAATGGGGATCCAAGGGCAT